AGGTATTCGAATCAAATATCCAAATCCAAAATATCCCATTGCCAAATACCTTTCTTATGAAAACTCTCTCATACTCATAGGGCTTTTACCTCAAAAATCTCACACTTGTTTGTCCCGAGAAACATTCAGGAAGCTCTTGATGATCCGAATTAGAAGTTAGCAGTGATGGAAGAGATGACTGCTCTTAGAAGAAGTGGTACTTGGGAGATAATTGATTTACCTAAGAAGAAAATAACAGTAGGCTGCAAGTGGGCCTGTACGGTGAAATATAAAGCTAATGGTAGCATAGAGAGGTACAAGGCAAAACTAGTAGCAAAAGGGTTCACCCAGATCTATGGAATTGATTATCAAGAAACTTTTGCTCCTGTAGCCAAGATAAACTCAATCAGAATTTTGTTATCTTTGGCTGTGAATTTTAGTTGGCCATTACACCAGTTAGAAGTAAAAAATGCATTTTTAAATGGAGATCTTGAGAAGGAAGTCTTTATGAATCTACCACCTGGGTTTGAGGGAAAATTGGGACCTAATAAAGTCTGTAGATTGAAAAAATCTTTACATGGTCTCAAACAATCCCCTAGAGCTTGGTTTGAGAGATTTAGGAGAGCTGTGAAGAATTGTGGCTACTGTCAGAGCTAAGCTGACCATACCATGTTCTACAAACACAGTAGAGAAGGTAAGGTTGCAGTGTTAATTGTCTGTGGATGATATAGTCTTGACAGGTAATGACAATGAAGAATTGGAGAGACTGAAAAAGAGACTTGCAGCTGATTTTGAAATCAAGGATTTGGGTGCATTAAAATACTTTCTTGGAATGGAGTTTGCTAGATTCAAAGAAGGTATATTTGTGAATCAACGTAAATATGTTCTTGATTTACTTAGTGAGACAGGTCTGCTAGGATGTAAACCAGCCGAGACACCCATTGAGCCCAACCTTAATTGTCTTTGTGGATGATATAGTCTTGACAGGTAATGACAATGAAGAATTAGAGAGACTGAAAAAGAAACTTGCAGCTGACTTTGAAATCAAGGATTTGGGTACATTAAAATACTTTCTTGGAATGGAGTTTGCTAGATCCAAAGAAGGTATATTTGTGAATCAACGTAAATATGTTCTTGATTTACTTAGTGAGACAGGTCTGCTAGGATGTAAACCAGCCGAGATACCCATTGAGCCCAACCTTAATTGTCTATGTGAATGATATAGTCTTGACAGGTAATGACAATAAAGAATTGGAGAGACTGAAAAAGAGACTTGCAGCTGACTTTGAGATTAAGGATTTGGGTGCATTAAAATACTTTCTTGGAATGGAGTTTGCTAGATCCAAAGAAGGTATATTTGTGAATCAACGTAAATATGTTCTTGATTTACTTAGTGAAACAGGTTTGCTAGGATGTAAACCAGCCGAGACACCCATTAAGCCCAACCTTAAGCTGCAGCACTCTAAAGATGAAGAAGTTCTTAATAGAGAGCAGTATCAAAGACTTGTTGGAAGACTGATCTACTTGTCATATACACGTCCAGATATAGCTTTTGCAGTCAGCATGGTTAACCAATTCATGTATTCATCTGGACGAGAACACTTTGATGCAGTCTACAGAATTCTTAGATACCTAAAGGGGACCCCTGGAAGAGGTCTATTGTTAAAAAACCGTGGGCATTTGCAAGATGAAGCCTATACTGATGCAGATTGGGCTGGGTGTGCTATTGATAGACGGTCAACTTCTGGCTACTGCACCTTTGTTGGAGGTAATCTTGTCACCTGGCGAAGTGAAAAATAGAATGTAGTAGCGAGAAGCAGCGCAGAAGCCGAGTTTAGATCAGTTGCTCATGGAATTTGTGAGGTGTTATGGATTAAGAAACTATTGGATGAATTAAAGGTCTCTAATCCATTGCCTATGAAATTGTACTATGACAATAAAGTTACTATTTAGATCGCTCACAATCTAGTGTTTCATGACAAAACAAAGCACGTGGAGGTAGACAAACACTTCATTAAGGAAAAGCTCGAAAATGGATTAATCTATATGCCATACATTCCTACTACCGAACAAGTTACAGATGTGCTTACAAAGGGACTTCCTATAAGACAGTTCGACTGACTAATTGGCAAGCTAGCTATGGAGGATATCTTCAAACCAGCTTGAGGGGGAATATTGAAAAGGAAAGATTTGGTAGTAATACTACCAAATATTATTAACTGTAAATATAATATTTGGAGAATATTTTATGTAAATAGAATATTGGTCAAATACTGTAAAATAGGAAATTATTAATTACGCCAGCTAGGTATGTACATGTATTCTCTCTTATAAAAAGAAGCTGTGTAAACTCGTGAATTGTGTGCTAATATAGAGAAAAAGATTTTTCTATTTTTCTTTCCTTTATAGTTTATAGTAAGCTTCATTGAAAAAAGGAAAGAATGTACAAGGATCCCCATCCAAGGGGAGAAACAACGATACATAGCGAAAAGAAAACAGTATAAATTCACAACCAACCTAGGCAATAGCATGAACAAACCTCCACAATCAACCTAAGCATCAGCAGGAACAAACTGCTCTAAATAACAACCATAAGCCATGAACAACATGCTCAGAAGAGCAACCATAAGGCAAACTGACAACATTCACAAACAATATTTTGCTACCAAACACACCGTAGTACTAGATGTGTTGTGTTTTTTTTTTTTTTTTTTTTTTTTTTTTTAAGTAAAAGAACTAGATGTGTTGTTGATGGATTCCATGTTTCACTTTGTAATTTAAGCTACCCAACTACTACTACTGTGTAAATGCATATATCTACTGTATTGCTCATGCGGACAAACAATATTTTGCCACCAAACAGTCCACGGTTGTTGTGGGTGACAATGCATATATCTACTGTATTGTTCTATTTTTGATATCTAAAATCAAACTAATCCCACCAATTCTACAATATTGTAGCTAAAACGAACCACTGAAACCTAACAGAATTGAATTATAGATTATTCGTTTTATTCTAAGATTTTGGATATATAAATACACACCAATAATATGAAAAATCAAAATTTTGCTTTAATTAAAGGAAATATGAATAGAATTTCTTATAAGATGCACAGTTCTTTAATTATTTGCAAAAGACGCAACTCAAACACAAGTGAAAGTGTGATACGACACCGATTGGTATATATGACACCAAGGGTGAGGTCTTAATTTACATCATAGAGTCCTAAGTGACTAGCAGGGGGGCTAATTCGTCGTTAATTTATAATGCTCTCTTCATTTCATAATTAGTATATGCTTTTCATTTTGAGATATATGTTCCATAATAGGTATTGTACATCCACTGTTTTCTTTTTACATGTTTAAATTACATCATCTTCAAATTGTCCGTACGTTTTGAAAATTTGTTTAAATCTATCATAAAGAAATTAATGTTTAAACTTTATCGGGTTAATTTTGTACTTATTTTTAAAGAATAATAATGCACTAAATGCATGTTTTCTTAAAATGCTACTATCTTAACAAGCGATAATTTTAATTCGAGAGAATAATCAAATGTCCGGCAGCAGTTCATGTGATTCAACTCTTATAAATTTTAGAAATCATGGTGAAACAGTGAAAAAAATAATGCAAGGATATCATCTAGCTTCAAGATGATCTTTATCAAATAATCAAAAATCAAACAATGAAATGTAACCCTACATTCCAAAAAACATAGGTTGACTATATTCAATAGAGTGGCCCTCATACGTACGTACCCTATAACAAGTTTAATAACTGAGCCATAAGACTTGGCGACTCAGTCCATATTCCTCTTATAAATATATGTAAACTTTCTGCTAAACTCAGGTCAGTGTTTGGCTCACAAAGTGGTCTGAGATCGCTATCCAATGAATGGCTGACCTAGAACGCGGGCGTGCCAGAATCCTGATGGACTCGAATATTTCTTGCCAAACTATTCCTATTGGGTCGAGTCACCGACCTAAGGTGATTCAGGCGAGAGTTGGAGAGTAGGAATGACCCTCTCCTTAAGGTTGCTATTGCCTTTAAGAAAGGACTTTAAACATTTAAGATGAGTATCAATTAAAAGCAACTTAAACTGAACAATAAATATACCTGAATCTGCAAACCTTTCTTCATTGAACTTGACTGATTACAATGATGAATGAATTACAAACTCTTGATTGAAATGGAAACTAAAGTATTGAATGCTGAAAGATAACTAAGTACTAAACTGATAGTGCTAAGCTGAACTTGCTGGAATAAAAAAACTAAGTAATAAACTGAACTTGATGAAATAAAAGCTAAGTGCTAAGTGATATGAATGCTAAAGGTTGAACTTCAGAAATGGTCTTAGACCCTTTCCTTGTGAAGCTTGAGTGGGTATTTATAGAGGTTTCCACCTGGTGTTGTCCCTCTCAACCGTTTCTCTAAAAATTGATTAGTTGTAAACTGAAAGTGACCCTTCCTAACCACCTTGCTGAGCTGGTCAGGTTGACTGACTTGCACATCTATCTATAGGCAAATTAAAGTATGTCTGACATAGTATTTTAACTAAGTGGTGCCTTGTCTTTCATGCTTGATGATTTTGGTTTTCAAGCCATTTTCAGCTCTCTGCACCTGTCATGTCTGGCTTGATTTGTACATTAGCCTGGAGGCATCTGATTACTGACAATTCTGACTCTCCTCGTCAGATGTAGGTGAGAACCTTCCAATTGTAGTTCTGAACTTCTGATATTGTCAAGTTGTCCTTTTCTATTTCAAGCTCTTTTCACGTTTCCAAACCTGACTTGTTGGGTTTTCAAATCATTGGGATTCCAGCCGATCTTCATTTGAATTACCCCAAAGATTCTTGAAGTGATTATGACCCGAGACCCCTAATCATAACCATATTTGGTCATGAGTCTTGATCATGGCCATAGTGACTAAAAATCTTGGTTAAGATTCATGATCATGACCATTATGACCGAGAGTCTTATAATCATTGTGACCGAGAGGAATAACGGTCCAGACTCTTGATCATGGCTGGTTATGAGTCTCTGGAGAGACTTTGGATCGCGACCATTATGACTGAGAGTCTCATGACCATGACCGTTGTGAATGAGAAAGTTGTGACTGAGAGTACTTTGGCCTAAACTCATGACCATTGTGACTGAGAGAAATATGGCCTAAGACTCATTATCATAGTGACTGAGACTTTCATGACCATACTGACTGGGAAGATTTTGGCCTAAGACTCATGATCATAGTGACTGAGACTCTCATGACCATAGTGACTGAGAAGATTTTGGCCTAAAACTCATGATCATAGTGACTGAGACTCTCATGACCATAGTGACTGAGAAGATAGTGACTGAGAAGAGTGACTGAGACTTTCATGACCATACTGACTGGGAAGATTTTGGCCTAAGACTCATGATCATAGTGACTGAGACTCTCATGACCATAGTGACTGAGAAGATAGTGACTGAGAAGATTTTGGCCTAAACTCATGATCATGACCATTGAGACTGAGAGTCCCAATTGTGACCGGTTATAAGCTCAAAACCTCATCTTAGCTTTAATGGCCTAAAAATTCCACTCTTCTTCCTTCTCAGCCTTAAATCGAGTCACTATGACTAGAAATTAATCTTTCGCTCTGATGATCGGACCTTGTAATTTCTGACCACGTGGCATGATTGCCTCGAATTATATTTTAGGTGTTAACAGTCAGCATCACCAATACAAGCATTTGGCCAACATTGCCTCAAAAAATTTCTTTCATTCCAAATATAACATGTATTCGACAATCACATGTTTACTTCTCTTATTGGTTCTCAGTGGTACCGCTATTTCAAAGTCCCACATCAAGACTCTACCGGGCTAGACAGGCAATCTGCCTTTCAAGCTTGAAACAGGGTGAGTTTTAGATTAATATTTCACATAAGTTATTTAACATTTTTATATATGTATCATATTTTCATATGTGCATATAGATTATATGGTTATAAGGTATCCAAAGATGCAATTAATATTAAAATGATGGTGTATTATATTTTGTATGTAGATATGTTAGCGTGGGAGAGTTGGATGATGTGCAGCTATTTTACTACTTCATTGAGTCGGAGGGCAATCCAAAGGAGGACCCTCTTATGCTTTGGCTTACTGGAGGACCTGCTTGTTCTAGTTTTAGTGGCCTTTATGAAATAGGTATTTTCTCATCCTTTCCGTCAGTTTAGGAGAGTACACACACACACACACATTCTTCTGCATGTCTTTTCTACCAACAAAAATTGAAGAAAAAAGCTTGCGGAAGGAGAGGTAAAATATATAAATTAGTATGTGGAAAAAGGAAGAAAAAGAAAATGGTTGAAGGAAAACTGGCAAGTCAGAAACAAATATCTGGAATTATGATACATTTATGAACACGTATATACAAAATAAATTAAATCTGAAAAGTACTTTTGAAATTTTTATAATTATGAAGTAACATTTGATTTTGCAAGTCATGAGCACTCATAATCAATAATTGAAAGACAATTATGGTTATTTTCAACATAAATCCATTTCAAATAGAGACATTTTTTAGTTGAAGATCGTTTCATGAACTTTTCCCAATATTATGTACAAGTTACATCTGTAGGTAAATAGCATACCTTGCCGAACATTAACTCGAGGCATGGTCTCATTATAAAGACTCAATGAGATAATTCAGTTGGAGTTGAGACCGTCACATCGAGCCTGATGTCGGAGTCAGAGCCTAGTCCTAAAGAACAAGAATGAAAGTTATTAATGGTCTGGGATCATATGGTCCTGGCCAATCAAAAGTTGTCAAGCAACCAAGAGACAAAACAAGAGTACTTGAAGCATGTTCAACTGAATAAAGTTTAAATGATGTATATATGTATATATATTTTTTATACTACACTCATCAACAGACATCGATCACTTCTAAAAGTCCTATCAAGAGAAAAACACGTTAGTCAGAAATGAACAAAACAACCAGATAAACTAGAATCAACCATCACATTTGAAACAACAATTTAGTGAAAGATACAATCACAAACTAAAATCACACATCATATTTGAAACAAAGATTTAACGTGATTTAACTTACAATTTAGGTTCATGCTGGCGAACACGACGAAAAGATCTCACTATGCAAAGAAGAAAAAGAAATATACATGTTCACTCAAATCCTAGTTCCCAATACACTATTTCTGTCTCTCTCAATTTGGTTATTTTCACACTGTTCAATCTTAAACAATACATGAGGAAAAAAATATCTTAAAATATTTGAACACTAACGTCCTTAAATATACCGGTTTAGAATAGAGACTAGAAATCAGGTGAAAACCCATTCAAGAGAGAAAATGGGTCAAATATTTTGCCATGACTCATGTAAAAAAAAAATGGGTTGCAACCCGACCAGGTCCAAAACTCAACATATAGCATTATTATAAAAAAAAACGTGTTTCCTTGTAGTGTTCAACACATTATATTTATCCTTTTTAGAAACAATATCATATCGAAAGAAGGAACTCATAATTGTATTTAGCCTAATTGATATATAACTATATGCTTTTGTGTAGGTCCATTAATTTTTAACACACAAGATTTCAATGGAAATTTACCCAGGCTTACATTGAAACCATACTCATGGACAAAGGTGAATCATTTCAACCCCCATTGCTTTTACTTTCATCAATTTTTTTTATTATTTTATTTTATAAGTGTTTTACTCTCATCCATACTATTTGGTCAGTTAATTGTGAGACTTCTCTAGAGTATTTTTATCATAAATTGGTATGTATAAACTTTCAGGTGGCCAGCATAATATTTTTAGATGCACCATTTGGCACTGGATTTTCCTATGCCAACAACTCGAAAAGTTATGTCATGGATGATAAAATTTTCACAGCACAAACCTATGAATTTTTGAGAAAGGTAAGCCTTGTAAATTCTTGGAAGATTCAGGAGAGAGGCTTGAGCCTGTGATGATGCGATATTCATATCAGAACATCATTAAAAACTAATATTTAAGAATGCAATACCTCATAGAAAACACTTTAGGACCAAAATCCAATGAACCACGGGGATTGATTAGGGTGGACCCCACCAGAAGTGATGGTCCCACCCCCTCTGTCAAGGGGAAAGTTCGGATTACGGTCCATAAGACATTGCTCATATAATATTTATTTTTATTTTTATAAAAAAAAAAGTAGTAATTTTTTTGAGTTGTATTGATGCAGTGGCTTAAGAAACATTCAAAGTTTACGTCAAATGACTTTTATGTCGGTGGTGATTCAGATTCCAGCATCGTTGTCCCAATCATTGTCAAAGAAATAGATAAAGGTAACATATGCTATATAAAATTAAGTAATTCACTAAGTTCATTTCATTATATTGTGAAGATAATAGAGTACAATATATATATTTTTTGTAATTTTACAACCAGGATTTTGATAGTTTAACGAATACCTTCTCATTTACTCTCTTTCAATCCCCCAAAGAAGCAGTACTACATATATTTTAGTGCAACCAAGACCTTCTCAGGAACTTTGACTTGTGCAACACAATTTATTTTCTTCTTCTTCTTCTTCTTTTATTTCTTTGTACTGCATGTAACACAGTTTCTGCTATTTAACCCTTCATCAATTTAATTTCTTTTGTTTTATTTTGTTTTGTTTTCATTTCCTTGTTGCAAGCGGAAATGAAGTTGGACAAAAGCCGATAATCAAGCTAAAAGTAAACAATCAAATTATTTGAAGAAAAAAAAAAAAAAGAAAAAAAGGAGAAAGACACACATATTTAAGTTGCTCTAATTCACAAATGCCTTATAATTTTGTAATTTGTGGTTGAATTTAAAGTTCTTCGAATTGACTCAAGGGTACGTGCTTGGAAACCCTGTAACGAGTCAACATGATGATGCAAATTCCATAGTCGAATTTGCTCATCATGTGGCACTTATATCAGACCAACTCTATAAGGTAAATTACCCTCCTTTCTTCTACATAGAAGCACTATAATTAAGTCCAGATCTTATTGATACTTTTAAACTTCTATTAAAAATGATTTTAGGCCTATAAACTTGAAATGAAGAAATATAGAATAAACTTTTTCTCTGTATTAGTACACTATTTACAAGTTTACACGGGTTCTCTTTATAAGAGAGAATACACGCACATAACTAGCTGGCCTAATTAATAATTTCATAATTTACAGTATTTGACCAATATTCTATTTACAGCAAATATCCTCCAAATATTATATTTACAGCTAATGATATTTGGTAGTATTACTACCGAATCTTTCCTTTTCAACACTCCCCCTCAAGCTGGTTTGAAGATATCCTCCATAGCCAGCTTGCCAATTAGTCTGTCGAACTGTCTTGTAGGAAGTCCCTTTGTAAGCACATCTGCAACTTGCTCGATAGTAGGAATGTACAGCATACAGATCAATCCTTTTTCAAGTTTTTCCTTGATAAAGAATTTGTCTGCCTCCACGTGCTTTGTTCTGTCATGAAGCACTGGATTGTGAGTGATTGAAATAGCTGCTTTATTGTCCCAGTACAATTTCATAGGCAACGGATTAGAAACCTTTAATTCATCCAATAGTCTCTTAATCCATAACACCTCACAAATTCCATGAGCAACTGATCTAAACTCGGCCTCAGTGTTGCTTCTTGCTACTACATTCTATTTTTTACTCCGCCAGGTGACAAGGTTACCTCCAACAAAGGTGCAGTAACCATAAGTTGACTGTCTATCAATAGCACTCCCAGCCCAATCCGCATCAATATAGGCTTCAACTTGCAAATGCCCACAGTTTTTTAATAGTAGACCTCTTCCAGGGGTCCCCTTTAGGTATCTTAGAATTCTGTAGACTGCATCAAAGTGTTCTCGTCCAGGTGAATGCATGAACTGGCTAACCATGCTGACTGCAAAAGCTATATCTGGACGTGTATGCGACAAGTAGATCAGTCTTCCAACAACTCTTTGATACTATTCTCTGTTCATAACTTCTTCATCTTTAGAAGGCTGCAGCTTAAGGTTGGACTCAATGGGTGTCTCGATTGGTTTACATCCTAGCAGACCTGTCTCACTAAGTAAATCTAGAACATATTTACGTTGATTCACAAATATACCTTCATTAGATCTAGCAAACTCCATTCCTAGAAAATATTTTAATGCACCCAAATCCTTGATCTCAAAGTTAGCTACAAATCTCTTTTTCAGTTTCTCCAATTCTTCATTGTCATTATCTGTCAAGACTATATCATCCACATAGACAATTAACACTGCAACATTGCCTTCTTTACTGTGTTTGTAGAACATAGTATGGTCAGCTTGGCTTTGACAGTAGCCACAATTTTTCACAGCTCTCCTAAATCTCTCAAACCAAGCTCTAGGGGACTGTTTGAGACCATATAAAGATTTTTTTCAGTCTACAGACTTTATTAAGTCCCAATTTTCCCTCAAACCCAGGTGGTAGATTTATAAATACCTCCTCCTCAAAATCTCCATTTAAAAAGGCATTTTTTACATCTAACTGGTGTAATGGCCAGCTGAAATTCACAACCAAAGATAACAAAATTTTGATTGAGTTTATCTTAGCTACAGGAGCAAAAGTTTCCTGATAATCAATTTCGTAGGTCTGGGTGAACCCTTTTGCTACTTGTCTTGCCTTGTACCTCTCTATGCTACCATCAGCTTTACATTTCACAGTAAAGACCCACTTGCAGCCTACTGTTCTTTTCTTTTTAGGTAAATCAACTATCTCCCAAGTACCACTTCTTCTAAGAGCATTCATCTCTTCCATCACTACTACCTCATATCTATAATATCTCTAGTTCGTTGTTTTTTCTCTATTATTATTTTGGGTGTAGTAATTGTAGAGAATTCGTTGACTTGTCAAAGTTGAACGAATTTTTGCACCTACAGGTTTGATTTGGGATTACTCGTGGTTCAATTGTGTTCAATTGAGATCGTCATGGGTGAAGATGATAGTGGTAAAAATGGTGAGGGCGGTGGTGATGTGTGTGTGTATGTATATATGTAGGGTTTCAAATTTAGGTTTAAGCGTAAATGTATTTATATGTATATGTATATATATACGAATTGGGTTTGATTTGGGATTCCTCGTGGTGGGGGTGGCAGCAAACTTAGACCTTGGCCTCCGCGATGGTAATAGAAATGCTTAATGGCGGCGACGCTGGTGGTGGTGTCGTCGCAACCTATTTATGATTTTAAATTCTTCAGATTCTTCTCACACTTAGGACGGGAAGCCGTGGTGGTGCTGGGGTTTTTTTTTTTTTTGTATGGTTATGGTGGTAGTGTTTGGGGTATTTCTATTTTATTTTTCTATTGAGGTGGTGTTTAGTTGTGGTGGTGTTTGAGGTTTTTTTTTTTTTTTTCTTCTTCTATTATGGTGGTGTTTGAGGGTTTTTTTTTTTTTCTTCTTCTTTCTATTGTGGTGGTGGTGGCGGTGGCGATGGTTGTGATGGTGTATAAGGTTGTTTTCATTTTTTCTTTCTATTGTGATGGTGGTAGTGGTGGTGGTAGTGGTAGTGGTGGCGGTGGCGGTGGTTGTCAAGGTTTGGTGGTGGTTATGGTGGTACTTGGGGATGACAAAGAGAGAGGGATTACACAAGGGGAGACACATACAAAGAGAAATTGGTGAGGGGTAGTTTAGCCATTTAACATGCCTGATATTTTGTGAATTAATCGAATAAAATATTAAGGGGCAAATATGTCATTTGAAACCTTAGGTGTCATTGCCCAAAATCGTGTTGACTAGCTGAGTAGAATTGACCAAAACCTCAAAGGGTATCAATGTAATTAATCTTAGATTTAACAACGGATAATACTTCGGTCCTCACTAGTGAAGATTTACACTATCTTCGCCGTTTATGTGATCCAATGAAAAGAAAACACGACCTCTTTTATTAAAGAGGTCAAAAAAATAAAATAAATCAGATCCTACCCGAATTTTTTTTTTAGTGTTCAACGTCGCTCTTTGGTTTTCTATCTTTCCGGCACCGCTTCAGCCTTCTCTCTCCACTATCTTCTTCCTCTCAAGCTTCTAGTACATCATCATTCAATTTGATAAGAATATTTGAAGGAGATATGATCCATTTTTTTTTTTTTTTTTTTTTGTTTCACACATCATCATTCATTTTTTCACTGAATAAAAAATCAGCATTTAAATAACCAAAACAAAAAGGAAAAAAGAGAGAGAGAAACAGTTACGAGGCTTAAAAGCGGCAAGCTGATCCTTGGCCTCTATGATCAGCTTCTTACAAATTCCATTGATTATTTTTCCCTGAATAAAAAAACAGCATTTAAAAAACCGAAAAAAAAAAAAAAAAAAAAAAAAAAAACTAAGGGACATAATCTCACAGAAAATCATGTTTTTGAATTTTGTGTTAATATGTACACAAATCTTTAAATCTAATACATAACTTTCATGAAAAGCCCTCTTGTAGAAAAAATAAAATAAAAAAATAAAAAAAAACCCTAAATGTATGAAGAAAAAAATATTTATCGATCCATACCTACTTCAAATATTCTTGCCAATTAAATGATGATGTCTAGGACTAGAAACTTGAGAAGAGAAAAAGATGGTGGAGAGAGAGGGCGGAAGACGGTGCAGGAAAGAGGGAGGACCAGAGAACGACGTTGAACCACCTTGAAAAAAATAAAAAATAAATTATTGAATACACTTTACCCAATCTCATTCGGCTATAATCGAGTTTATTTTATTTTATTTTTCTGATCTCTTTAATAAAAGAGGTCATGTTTTGTTTTAATTGAACCACATAAGCGGTGAAAATAGTGTAAATCTTCACTAGTGAAAATCTAAGTATTGTACTTTAACAACAAGTAAGGAGAAAAAGAACAAAGAAATAAAGAAAGTAAAAGATTTAACAATGGATATTTATGTGTTTGTGTATTTTTTAATTATTATTATTATTTTTAATGAATTTTTGAATGGAAGGTTGCAAGGCTCCGTTTAGATACAAAATTGCATGTATCAAATGTGGCCATTGGGGGTATTTTTGTCAACTTTTTCAGACTTCTGTATATCACTGACAATAAAGCAAAACTTATATGACTGTGACTAAGACAAACCTACAAGGTATCATTATAATTAACTCTTAAATCATTAACTGTTTTGTAAACACTCTCAAATGATCTCATCACTTCAAACCAAGGATCAAATACCAAAACTACCTCCCGAAGAAAAGAAACTAGCAAAGCTAACATCCACAGATCAAAAGATTAAAAAACATCCAACTATCATCAGAGACCAAAACAACACGTATATATACATCTACACATACTTGTGTATCCACATATATATACATCATCAAATTCAGCCTAATCACCGTCCAAATCCACATGCATTTTAGAGTCTCAATTAAAGGGCAAGAGGATAAAAAATAAACAAAAGAATCAAATAAAAACCTCCAAAATTGAATATGGTATTTTTGGAGAGAAGTACTGCAATGGAAAAAGAAGACCCAAATTAACGGAGCTGCCATTGATGAGTGATCCGTTTTGTTGCGTCTGTCATAATGTCATTGCCTTCTTCTAGTTTTTGTTGAGTCCTCTTGGGCTGTGTTGGCTTAGGCCTTGTTTTTGTTTTGGTTGGATTTTTTTTAAAAAAAAAATAATAATAATACAATTTATAGTAAAGTGCATTAAACCCGTCCACAATTTATAGTATGTGCAAGAAACCCCCCTGAATTATAAAAGTTGCAAAAAAATCCCTGAATTATTAGAGTATGTGCAAGAAACCCCCCTGAATTATAAAAGTTGCAAAAACCCCCCTGAACTATTGGGGTATGTACAAAAAACCCCCCTGAACTATATATTTTTTTGCAGTTTACCCCATCCACGCGAATTGATTGACTGAAAGGGACAATGAAGCAGAGGAATTTGCTGCTGGGATCGGTGGGTCTCCTGTCATAGCTCCATCATAGCCGTTGCACCACCCGCCATTCAGCTCACCTTGCTCGCCAGTCCATTCCACTGTCCATTCCAATCTCGCCGGCCCATTCTGCCATCTCCATAGCCAAGCACACCGCCGTCCGTGTTTCAAGCACACAGCCGTCCACAGTTCACCGCCGAGCCCCACAGTTCATAGCCGAGTCAACCGAGCTCTCATCACAGCCGAGTCTTTCGCGCACAAGCCACCATCATCCGAGACCGAGCCATCCCGCCAACCTCGGATTTTCTCTTCTCTCTCTCTCCAACTCTCAGTTTTGGGTTGTATTGGGTGAAAAGCATCTTTTGGCAAAAAAAAAAGTGTATAAGTTAAAACGACGCAGTGTGTTAAAAGGATAAATTGGTTATTCAAAATTTTCGGTGCCGGAAGCTGATGTCATGGGGGTAAATTGCAACAAAATCATAGTTCAGGAGGGTTTTTTGTAGTTCAAGGGGGTTTCTTGCAAATGACCAATAGTTCAAGGGGGTAAATTGCAACAAAATCATAGTTCAGGAGAGTTTTTTTGTAGTTTAGGGGGGTTTCTTGCAAATGACTAATAGTTTAAGGAGGTTTAATGCACTTTATCCTACAATTTATTTACCAAAAATAAATAAAAAATTCAAACCAGGCATTCAAAACAAATCTTCAAACCAACCACTCCAACAAATCTTCAAACCAACCACTCCAAAGTCCAAACCCACCTCAAAGCCAACAGGTCTATAAATTCAATTATGTTACAGACCAAAAAGTGACAGGTTCTGCATAATTGTGGGAATTAGATCATTATTATTTTTAGTATGATCAGTACCACATGGGTTTATATACCAACATAAACCATGGTACTTGAATCAATTACAACGCATGTTGAATTTTCTTTCTATATGGTATATTATAGTGATTGGTTGAAATTGGTTTTCAAATGAACCAGTTTGATGTTAATTAATAGTAACTGGTGGATTGATTATTTGTTAAACATATGTGTGAGACTTATCTTAGTGTAAAATTCAGAGTTATCAATATATGCTCTTTATAATAGATAATTTTTATCTATTCATTAGTGACCAAAAATATTTTCTTCACTAACAATGTGACATAATGATATGATGACTTATATTCATTTTTTAATTTAAAAAATAAAAAATATTTCATTTTTTTCACTCTTATACTTAATATTCAAAATGAACAATGTGTCACTAAAAGATAGTTAGTTCACTTGCTACACTTATTTAATTTCTTTTTTTTTTTTTTTAATACGGCCGGAATAGGACCTTATTAAAAAAATAAATCAAATCACGAGACATGTGCCCTATATGTTGGTTGCCCTCATACGTAATTCGTGTCTATATATAATAATATGGACTCCTCATCTATGTATGTATCTCTAAGTTAAAGTCAGACCACATATATGGCATCACCAATGCAAGCATTTGGCCGACATTGCGTCAAAAATTTCTTTCAATATTACAATTGTTGTAGTAAAACGAATTCAACAATATTCTCATGTTTACTCCTCCTATTGCTTCTCTCTGCTACTGCAATTTCAAAGTCCATTATCAACACTCTGCCTGGCTATAAAGGTGATCTGCCCTTTAAGCTTGAAACAGGGTGAGTTATATATATATATGTACATGCACAAATATATATATATATATTTTTCTTCTGTCCATATTAGTAGTAGTTTTCCTTATTCTTTTTTTTTTTTTTTGAGCAATAATACATCATCAGAAGAATGCTGATAATTTTAAAAGGAGACTATATAATAATATATATTAAAATGTTGGTGTGCTATATATAAATACTTTGTATGTAGATATGTGAGCGTGGGGGAGTTGGACGATGTGCAGCTATTTTACTACTTCATCGAGTCAGAAGGCAGTCCAAAGGAGGACCCTCTTATGATTTGGCTCACTGGAGGACCTGGTTGTTCTGGTTTTAGTGGCATTGCTTATGAAACTGGTATTTTCTCATCCTAAATTTCCACTAGTTTAGGAGACAACGTGTGTACACACACACACACATTCTTCTGCATTTCTTTTGTGTCATCAAATATTTGAAGACAAAAGAGGTATAATATATAAATTAGTATGGGGAAGAGAGAGAAAAAAAATATAGTATGGGAAAAATGAAAATAGAAAATAGAAAAAGGATGAAGTAAATTAATTATGGCAACAGGCAAGTCACAAAAAAATAAAAAAATTGTAATCATGATATACATCACTGCTCACACATGACACATGCATACCAATTTTTCTCAACTAATGATAGAGAGTCCGACAATAAGACATTATCAAATTTAATAACGTTATTATGATGTCATCTTCCACTCATATAAATTAGTGGGATGCATCCAATTTTCAAATTATTTATCATTATTCAAATTTTTTTTATTCCGACCTAGTAATTTATAATCACTTGAGTCAACTCCTTAAATTGTACTATTTTTAATTTTTTTTTAATTATGAAGTAACATTGGATTTGGCAAGTCAGGAGGACTCATAATTGATAATTGTAAGCACATAGTGATTTTTTTCTAAAGAACTCATGTGTTTTTTTTTTTTTTTTTTTTTTTTTTGGGGTATTATTATTTAGTGATTTGATCAGGACTTTCTCCTATAGTATAAAAATTTACTCTTTGGTGTTAGCGAGAAGCTAGCAATGATGAAAAACAAAAAGAATCAAGAAATACGATATACGAAATGAAAACATAAATTAAAATCACACATTAAATTTAAATTAGAGATTTAAAAAATATAATGTGATTCAACTTATAATTTATGTATGAAAAAAAAAAAAAAAAAAAAAAAAAACCCTTATAATTTGTGAAGATGTTCACTAACTGGGACGATGGAGCCAAGGTGGGGGCAAAAATAAATTTTAGGAGCAATAATGTATTTTTTTATGGACCCCCATAATAAAAGCAGGACCCCCGTAATAAATAATGGGTCAACACATGTTTAAGACTTTTTTCTTTAGAAACACAATATCATATCAAAATAAGCAACTCATAATTGTATTCGACCTAATTGATATATATATGACTTTTTCTTTAGAAACACAATATCATATCAAAATAAGCAACTCATAATTGTATTCGACCAAATTGATATATATATATATACTTTTGTGCAGGTCCATTAAATTTTAACACACAGGATTTCAATGGAAATTTTCCAACATTTATATTGAACCCATATTCATGGACAAAGGTGTATCATTTCAACCCCAGTACTGCTTTTAATTTCATCCCTAATATATATATATATATATATCCTTCTTATCATGGCATTGGTAGAATAATATTTCAGGCGGCCAGCGTAATATTTTTAGATGCACCAGTTGGCACTGGATTTTCCTATGCTGACAACACAGAAAGTTACGCCATGGATGATGAAATGTCAGCCGCACAAATCTATGAATTTTTGAGAAAGGCAGGTCATGCACAAATTCTTAGATGATTAAGAGTCCTGATATAGCATCTGAAAGTTAAATGATTCTGATTGCATTTATGTGTGGGAGTTGACATTTATTATGATGGTAGATATCATTTCTCACTCACATAAAATAATATGATTTATAAGAAAGTATACAATATCCCAAAGGTATCCCTACCAATGGACACTAACGGTTTTTTTTTTAAAACAACTCATTAGAGCAAATTGAGAGTTTCCATAATTGTCCATTAATTAGGGTACCACGTGTAAGTGCTAGTGCCCTGAGGTATCATATATTTTATCGTGATTATTCTTTCAAGAATGAGATTATTATGTATACATAGAGTTTTAAACCTTTATTCATAATTTAATGAAGTCAATTCAGTCATAACGTTTCAAAAGAATGGCCAAAATATTAATGTAGATATGGAACAGTACTGTTTATTTGTCCAAGGTACTACTTCTTTACATTTAAGCACCAGTCTTGTGAAATGTATCACTTCTATGCATGTAAATACTTTTTATATATAGAGGTACCACTCTTGTTCACGCATATAACTTTTTTGTATAGGCCGTGTCATAAAAATGGTGTGAGCAGAAGAGAAGAGTGGTACCTAAAAAATAGTTTAGGCAAATGGATATTAACATTTTGGTCAAAAATCTGTCAAATACAGACTAAAAAAATCTGAAGGGTTTAACAGAGCTAGTGAGAGGGTGTGGCCTCCACCAACAATGATGTCTCTCTCAGTCGAATGGTTGGGATTTCAGTCTTCCATAAACATATATTGTTGCTACAATATATATATATTTATATAAAAAAATAAAAGTAATAAATTTTTATGTTGTGTTGTTACTGCAGTGGCTTAAGGATCATCCAATGTTCACGTCAAATGACTTTTATATGACTGGTGAATCATATTCCGGCATAACTATCCCCATCATTGTTCAAGAAATATATAAAGGTTTCTTATGCTATATCAAATAAAGTAGTTAATCTACAAATTTCATTTCATTATGTTTTGAAGATGATAGAAGAAAATACACATTTTTTTTTATTTTTTTTGGTTTTGTTTTTCATTTCCTTGTTACAGGAAATGAAGTTGGAAAAGAGCCGCTAATCAAGCTAAAAGTAAACATTCAATTTTTATTTTATTTTATTTTTATTTTTATTTTAAGAAATCACCAAGCATATAAAGTTACAAACTAACCGACCATGGATATGTTTATCGTATAATAAATAAACAAAATCCATATATATGGAGCCGAGCCTAATTTACATTGACTTATGATTTTGTAATTTGTGGTAGCTAGAATCTAAAGTTCTTTGAAATGACTCAGGGATACGTGCTTGCAAGCCCTCTAACTAGTGAACATGATGATAAAAATTCCAGAGTTGAATATGCTCACCGGCTGACACTTCTTTCAGATGGACTATATGAGGTGATTGCCCTTTCCTTTCTTCTTCTACATAAAAATACAATTAATTCCGTATGTTATTCATATTTTTTAAAAACAACTAAAAAACGATAGCAAGTTAAATTTAACTTATGATTTTTATTACAGTCGGTGAAGAGAAATTGTAATGCTGAGTACGTGAATGTGGATCCAAACAATGCCGATTGTGTGAAGGATCTTCAAATTGTCACAGAGGTGAGACAGATCGATCAATTACAACAACTTTTGACTGTTGGATACAAATATTTGAGAAAAGTTGCATTAAGCAATATATATTATTAACAATGGCTTGATATTGAACTTTTAATTGATATATAGTGCCTTGAAAAAGTAAATCTTCCACAAATTTTGGAACCTGAATGTTCTTTTACTTCCCCCAATTCAACTACTAAAATAAAATGGGAAAGAAGGTTGTTCGAAGAGGATCCAACAGACTTTCTTCTTTCATCTCCTCAACACTCTAAACTATGGTGCAGGGTAAGTACTCTCCTTCTCTATAGACTATACATATACACACACATATTAACATATAGTATACATATACACACACTCACTTCATACACACCGTTTGGCGTTGCAGCAGTTAGAGGGCTAAATTGTAGTACAAACTTTCCCTTGTATTAGTAGGGGTATTTTTGGCAATAAGGCCAAAAGAAACGCCCTTGGTTAGTTGGAAGAGCCTTTTTTTTAATAGAAGTAAACATAATAAATATATATATATATATATATATTAGGAAAAAACACTTGCGATGCACGTGGTGAATATTTTGTAACTTATAAAATTTTTGTTTTCATATTGATTAATAAAAATTTATTTTATATTAATAAATAAATGCTGAAATATTTTGAAATTGGCGATAGAGTTTAAGTTTCGTAAATTAATAAATTCTTTTATGTTTTTATATTAATACTGAAATATGTATATTTTATTTTTTATTAAATAATAATTTTTTATTTTAATAGTGAAATATTTGGGTTTTGCAAAGTAACAAATTTTTTTTTGGTAATTTGAATTTTATTAGGTAATTTGTAATTTGAATTTTATTAGATAATTTTAAATTTAGTATAATTTTTAATTTACAATAGAAATTCAATTATATTAATTTTTAATTAAATTTTAAAATAGAAATTCAATTATACTAATTATACATTAGATTGAAATTGATATAAAAATTTATTATATGGAGTTTGTGGTTTTTGGAAGACCCTAGGTTATATTTTATTTTCTTTAAATATGTAATTTGTGATAGAATTTTATAGAAATTATTTTATTTTATTTAGATATATCTTTGTAAAATTAGATTTTCTTTTATTAAAAAACTCATAAAAAAATAGATAAATACAAGGGTTATATACTTATATGTGATAGAGTTCTCTTTTTGTATTAATTAATAATATTTTTTATATTAAAAAATAAATACTGAAATGTTCAAATTCTTTAACATTTATATTTTATTTATATGTATTATTATATTATTATATATTTTATTTAAATATATCCTTATTTAATTAGATTTTATTTTATTAGAAAACTTATAATAAATAGATAAATACAGGTTATATGTGATAGAGTTTTAAAGAAAATAAAATACTTGTTTTGTGGTAAAATTTTGGTAATTTGTGTTAGAGTTTTATAAAAACTATTTAAAGATATCCTTATCTAATGTGATAGAGTTTCATTGCAAATAAAATAGGTAATTTATGGTACAATTTTATATAAATTATTTATTTTCTTTAAATATATATATCCTTGTCTAATTATATATATATATTTTTTTTATTAAAAAACTCATAATAAAAGATAATTTGTGGTAGAGTTTTAGAAAAATTATTTTATTTTTTATATCAATTATTAAATTATTTTATATTAATAATCCTTGTCTAGTTATATTATATTTTATTAAAAAATTCATAGTAAATACATAAATAGGTAATTGTTAATAGAATTTTTTATAAACTCTTTTAAAAAAATATTTTAGTCTATTTAAATATATCGTTGTCTAATTAGATTTCCTTCATAAAAAAACTCACAATAAATAGATAAAAACAAGTTATATGTGATAGAGTTTTAAATAAAATAAAATAGATCATATGTGGTAGAGTTTTATAGAAATTATTATATTTTCTGCAAATCTATTTATAATAAATAAATAAATAGATAATTTGTGTTACAATTTAATAGAAATTCTTTAAAAAATATTTTTTATATCAATTAATAAATATTTTTTTATATTAATAATTCTTGTCTAATTAGATTTCCTTTTATTAAAAAACACATAATAAATAAATAAATAGGTAATTTTTGTTAGAGTTTTACAGAAACTCTTTTCAAACCTCTTTTATATTAACTAATAAATATTTTTTTATCTTAATAATGCTTGTCTAATTAGATTTTCTTTTATTAAAAAAACTCATAATAAATAGATAAATAGGTAGTTTGTGATATAGTTTTATAGAAACTCTTTTTAGATCATTTAATAAATAATTATTTATATTAATATTAGTTGTCTAATTAGATCTCCTTTTATTAAAAAAATCACTTAATAAATAGAAAATTTGAGTTAAAATTTTATAGAAACTCTTTAAATATTATATCTTTTTCAATTGTGATAGAGTTTTATTTAAAATAAAATTTGTCATTTTGTGATAGAGTTTTATAAAAATTATTTTATTTTCTTTTAATATATCTTGTTTAATTAGATTTAATTTTATTAAAAAACTCATAATAAAAGTTAATTTATGGTAGAGTTTTAGAAAAATTATTTTATTTTATATATCAATTAATAAATATTTTTTATATTAATAATTCTAGTCTAATTAGATTTTCTTTTATTCAAAACTTCATAATAATAAATAGATAAATAGATTAACTTAAATTTTATTAGATAGATTTTACAGTTTGATTGACATTTTTTTTATATATATATAAAAACTATTTGCATATCAATTAATAAATATTTTTTTATAAAAATAGATAGTTAAATACTGAAACTCTTTGCACATGTAATAATACTACAGATAAAAACTTTTTTATATCAATTAATAAATATTTTTTTATATAAATAAATAAATACTTAAACACCTTGGCACAACTTCTGTAGTTTACTCAGAAAATTAGGTTTTCTTTTATTAAAAAATTTATAATAATAAATAGGTTAATTTGAATTTTATTAGGTAGATTTTAGAGTTTTATAGAAGTTTTTTTTCTATAAAAACTCTTTTCATATCAATTAATAAATATTTTTTTATATAAATAAATAAATACTGAAACACTGAAACTCATTCCACATTTAATAAATATTTTTTAAATAAATACTGAAACTTTAGATTTACTTTTATTAAAAAATTCATAATAATAAATAGATAAATAGGTTAATTTAAATTTTATTAGGTAGATTTTAGAGTTTTATAGAGTTTTTTTTTTTCTTTTATTATTATTATTTATATATAAAAACTCTTTACATATCAATTAATAAATATTTTTTATATAAATAAATAAATACTAAAATACTGAAACTCTTTACACATTTAATATATATATATATATATATATATATATTTTAAATATATCCTTGTCTAATTAAATTGAATTTTATTAAGAAATTCATAATAAAAGTTAATTTGTGATAGAGTTTGAGAAAAATTATTTTATTTTATATATCAATTAATAAGTATTTTTTATATTAATATTTCATGTCTAATTCAATTTTCTTTTATTAAAAAATTCATAATAATAAATAGATAAATAGGTTAATTTAAATTTTATTATATACATTTTGGAGTTTGATAGAGTTTTTTTTTTTTTTTTAATACTTTTCATATCAATTAATAAATATATATTTTTATAAATAGATAATTAAATACCGAAACTCTTTGCACATTTAATAGTAGTATAGATAAAATATTTTTTTATATTAATTAATAAATATTTTTTTATATAATTAAATAAATACTGAAATACTTTGGTACAACTTTTGTATTTTACTTTGAAACTTAGATTTTCTTTTATTAAAAAACTTTAATATGTAATACGTGTTAGAGTATTATAGAAAATATTTTTATAGAATATATTTTTAAACTCTTTTTACATGAATTATTAAATATTTTTATATTTTAATAATTGCTATCTAATTAGATTAGCTTTTATTAAAAAAAAAAAAACTCATAATAAAAGGTAATTTGTGGTAGAATTTTAGAAAAATTATTTTATTTTTTATATCAATTAAAAATATTTTTTATATTAATAATTCTTGTTTACTTAGTTTTTCTTTTATTAAAAAATTTATAATAAATAAATAGGTAATTTGTGTTACAGTTTAATATAAATCTTTTAAAAACTCTTTTTGTATCAATTAATAAATATTTTTTATTTTAATAATTATTGTCTAATTACATTTAGTTTCATTAAAAAACTAATAATAAATAAATAAATAGGTAATTTTTGTTAGAGTTTTTTAAAAACTCTTTTAAAACCTCTTTTTGTATCCGTTAATAAATAATTTTTATATTAATAATACTTGTTTAATTAGGTTTCTTTTTATTAAAAAACTCATAATAAATAAATAAACAGGTAATTTATGTTAGAGTTTTATAAAAACTCCGTTGATAGAGTTTTATGGAAAATAAAATAAGTAATTTGTAATAGAGTTTTATAGAAATTATTTTATTTTCCTTAAATATATACCTGTCTAATTAGATTTAATTTTATTAAGAAACTCATAGTAGAGTTATATAAAAATTATTTTCTTTTATATATCAATTAGTAAATATTTTTTATATTAATAATTCTTGTCTAATTAGATTTATTTTATTAAAAATTTGATAATAATAAATAGATAAATGGGTTAATTTAAATTTTATTATGTATAATTTAGTGTTTTATCGTATTATTTAATAAATATTTTTTTGCATAAATAAATAAATACGGAAACTCTTCACACATATAATAATAGTATAGATAAAAACTTTTTTATATCAATTAATAAATATTTTTTTATATAAATAAATAAATATTGAAATACTTAAACTCTTTGACAGAGTTTCTATATTTTACTCTGTAATTCAACTCTTTTTATATCAATTAATAAATATTTTTTTATATAAATAAATAAATACTAAAATTCTTTGGCAGAACTTCTGTATTTTACTTTGCAATTCTAAATTTCTAGAATTCTCAATTTCTGTACCCCTTCCTCCTTCCTCCATGCCTCTATTTATAGGCTTCTTGGATGAATAGGATAATGACATGTGTCCTTTTCTGATAATGACATAATCATAACTTGGCTGGGCCGGTTATATTGTGATAATTATCCATAAAAAATAACTAAAAATAAGATTTTTATATAGAATATGATTGATTTTATTAGGTAATTTTTAGATTTTTATAAAAATTATAATTATTTATAAAAAATAAATCTAAAAATAAGAGTTTTATATAGTATGTGATTGGTTTTATTAGGTAAATTAGATTTTCTTTTATTAAAAAACTTGTAATAAATAAATAAATAGGTAATTTGTGTTAGAGTTTAATATAAACTCTTTTAAAAACTCTTTTTATATCAATTAATAAATATTTTTAATTTTAATAATTCTTGTCTAATTAGATTTAATTTAGTAAAAAAAACTCAAAATAAATAGATAAATAGGTAATTTGTGTTTTAAAAAATCTTTAAAAACCTTATTTTGTATCAGTTAATAAATAATTTTTTATATTAATAATACTTGTCTAATTAGGTTTCCTTTTATTAAAAAACTCATGATAAATTGATAAATTTGTAATTTTTGTTAGAGTTTTATACAAACTCTTTAAATATATCTTTGTTGATAGAGTTTTATTGATAATAAAATAGGTAATTTGTAATAGAGTTTTATTGAAATTATTTTATTTTCTTTAAATATATACTTGTCTAATTAGTTTTAATTTTATTAAGATAGTCATACGAAAAGCTAATTTGTGGTAGAGTTTTATAAAAATTATTTTATTTTATATATCAATTAATAAATATTTTTTATATTAATAAATTTTGTTTAATTAGATTTTCTTTTATTAAAAATGAATAATAATAAATAGATAAATAGGTTAATTTAAATTTTATTATGTAGATTTTACTATTTTATAGATTTTTTTTTTTTCAGTAAAAACTCTTTTCATATCATTTAATAAATATTTTTTTATATAAATAAATAATGAAACTTTTTACATATCTAATAATAATATAGATAAAAACCCTTTTTATATCATCAATTAATAAATAGTTTTTTATATAAATAAATAAATACTGAAAACTCTTGACAGAACTTTTGTATTTTTCTCTAAAATTCAACTTAATTAATAAATATTTTTTATATAAATAAATAAATACTGAAATACTGAATCTCTTTGGCAGAGTTTCTGTATTTTACTCTGGAATTCTGGATTTTTAAAATTCTCAATTTCTGTACCCCTTCTTCCTTCCTCCATGCCTCTATTTATAGGCTTCTTGGATGAATAGGATGATGACATGTGTCATTTTCTGATAATGACATAATCATAATTGGGCCGGACCGGTTATATTCTGATAATTATTTATAAAAAATAACTAAAAATAAGAGTTTTATATAGAATGTGATTGATTTTATTATGTAATTTTTAGAATTTTATAGAAACTATTTTTACAAAAACTATTTTTGTATCAATTAATAAATATTTTTTTATATAAATAAATAAATACTGAAATACTAAAACACTAAAACACTTTGCACATTTAATAATAGTATAGATATAGATATATATATTGCAAAACTTAGTTGTGAAGGGGAATTTAATGCTATTCGCCCAATGAAGTGTGAAGTCTGGTTCAATAATATTTTTAAATAAAAAAAATTAAATAGGCTCATAAACACATTCATAATTGTGTAATAAATTGTTGTAACTTTACTGTAGAACTATAATTACGCGCTCTCTTACATGTGGGCAAATGATAAGAGTGTCCAACAGGCTCTCGGAGTTCGTGAGGTATGTATATGACATTGATTATATAAATCACAAATTAATATAAGCTTATAAAAAATAAAAATAAAAAAGTAATGTCAACCATATATATATATATATATATATTAATTTGTATGATGGCAATAAAACAGGGAACAGTAAAAGAATGGTTGAGATGTAACAAGGACTTGGCCTACACAAAAACAGTATCTAGTAGTCTTGCTTATCATCAATACCTCCTTTATAATACAAATTATCGAGCTCTAATTTACAGGTAATATATATATATATATATATATATATATATATATATATATATATATATATATCAACTTAATTTATGTTTAGCTAGTTTGTCGTGTGGCTATGTACTTAACTTATGTGAAATTTACTTCATATCACAGTGGCGATCACGACATGAATATTCCATATCTAAGTACACATGCATGGATCAATTCTCTCAATCTATCTATCAGTCAAGATTGGAAACCCTGGTTTGTTGATGCTCAAGTTGCAGGGTTGGTTACGAATTTGAGCTACTCCTGTTAATTTAATTAATTTGTTGAACTTTTTAAAATTGATTTATAATATCTTGCAATTAATTATGGTATTAATTATTCAACTGTAGATACTCAATGAAATATTACTATCATGGATACCATTTGACATATGCAACTGTGAAGGTAAGAAAATCACACACACACTGTTTAATTATGTGTATGTATTCAAAAGAGAAAAATGTGATGGAAAAGTTTAATAATTGTGTTTGTTTGTCTTTTTCTCTTGATTTGCACAGGGAGGGGGTCACACAGCTTCAGAGTATAAGCCAAAAGAATGCCTTGCCATGCTTTATAGGTGGCTTGCTTATTATCCCCTCTAGTCATCTACTAGTATTTAAAGTGTCAATTGAGTACTCATATGAGCTATATGTCTTCCCTTGACTTTTTGCCAAAAATACCCATTACAAAGTCAAGGGGTTTTAAAATTGGGCCAACCAAAAGTTTCTTATTGTAATGTTTATTTGTTTCATTATCTTTAATTTTTGTTGGTAGGGTTATGATACTCAATGTACTTCAAACACTATCCAAATATTATTATTGTAATTGGTTTAAAAGTTTTTTTTTTTAATTTAAAGCAATTTGGTTGTTGGTACTGGGCTTAACGGAGCCTATCATGCAAATGAGCCCAAAAATAATATAATAAAAAAATATTTAAATATAAAAAAATCTTTTTTTCTTTTGAAGGGAGTAGATATAAACAAATTATTGTTACCATATAAATTATTGTCTAACATAATATATAAATTGATATTATAAGTACTTGTATTTATTGCAATAATTTTTTTAAAAAAGTTATTTATTACCATAAATTTACATGATATATAACTTTGCATTGACTTTTAATTATAGAAATTGTGGCCTGAATGTCAGACATATACTACTATATATATTAGGCCCTTCCAAAATGGAGGCCCTTGGTCGCCTTCCTAGGGCCGGCCCTCTTCAAGCCAGAGAACTTGTGTTAGTTTAGAAATCAGTGGACAACTAGAAAAGGTTAAATCGGTAAAATGGGTAAAGAAGTTATTTTTGTCATTAAATATTTTTAAGGTTAAAATCATAAAAAAAAAAAAAAGCCCATTAAATGAGTTATGAAATGTCAAATTTGACCTTTCTATTTAATATTAAATTAAAAATTATAACTATTATTTTAAAGGGACACAATTAACATTAAATAATATTACTATAAAGGGGCATTTTTATAATTTTAAAATAATAATTATATCTTTTATAAACCCTTGATAAGTTTTGTTAGTTTAGATTTTTTTTTTTGTATTCTAGTGGGATTTTATGCCCGATTTTAAAAGTAGAAGAGGTTTTATGATTTTAACCTTATTTTTTATATGGCACATGCTTTGCATGCACATGTTGTAACGGCTAAAAAGAGAGTTCTATTTCCAACTCAAGCTTAGATTTCAATTAGAATACCGGTTACACACTGACTTTATCATATAAATATTGTGTAACACATTGGACTTTTTGCAATTTGTAAATTATTCTCATTCTTTTATGTGCTTAAAATGCACATCATTCTCGGACTAAAATAATAGTACTACGAAGAAGATATTCATCTATATATTTTCTTACTTCTTCCGTTTTTAAAATAGTTGTCCATCTAATTTGTGAGTCACAACTTAAAAGGTAAATAACTATTTTGAGATTAACTGAGTACATAATAACACTATTGATCAATGGACCTCTTCAAATGTGGAGATTGAGTATTGAAACCTTAGTAAAGGCATAATATATAAATGATGTGAAAGTTGAGTATTTGAACCTCAATGAAGGCATGATATATATTGTGAGCATGTGTCTGAACTTTTGAAAAAATGAACTAGTGAAACTAACCCTCTTATATTTTGAAATACAAATATTTAAGATAAAAATTAAAATTGGGATTGGGATTCGGATTTAGTTCACATAGGTGGGAGGGTTATTGCGTAATTTAGCCTTACAAAAAGCTAAAGAGTCCAAGAGACATCACCCTCAAAATCCGCGAATCTGAGAAATCGCAGTTTTCACTAAAAATCATTTTAACGTCTTAAACTTTTACCAATAATACGAGTGAGTGACTAATGGGAGAACAGAAGAACCCCAACACTCAAAGCCCAACCATGAGAGGCTCTCATCTTCTGCTACCCAAATTCGGCGTCACTCCGCCGGACGAAGACGGCGTCGACCCTGTCCGCACCGCCGCTGGCGTTGGCATCTCCGTTGGGCTCCGCAAGAAGGCTACCGGCGTCCGACCATGGCTCCTTCTTGACGCCACCGGGCAGGCCCAAGTGGTGGAGGCCGGAAAGCACGCCATCATGCGGCGAACGGGCCTCCCCGCCCGGGATCTTCGGATCCTGGACCCACTCCTCTCCTACCCGTCGACGGTGTTGGGGCGTGAACGGGCAATAGTCATCAATCTTGAGCACATCAAAGCCATAATCACGGCCCAAGAGGTTCTCTTGCTCAATTCCAGAGATCCTTCTGTTATGCCCTTCGTTGAGGAGCTCCAGCGACGAATCTTGCGCCACCATCACGCCACCAAGTCCCAGGTTCCTCTTTCTCTCTCCAACTTTCTCTCTTCATTCTTGACTGTGAAGAAATTATACTTTATTAACTTATATGTTATATGTACAGGTATGTGTTGTGTGATTATAGAGAGATATTGTGTTTATTTGTTACTCAAGTGAGGGGAATCAAGGTTTTGACGCTTCATATTAATGTGATGTTGATATTTATATACATGAAGTCTTTGGATGTTAATTTGTAAGTTTTATTGAATCTATTTTGTGTAATCTACCAAGCAAAGAATAAATTGCAAATCACTCTAATTTGGAGATACCGACATAATGATCATAAGAATAATTCTGTATGTTTCTTTTTGTCTTTTGTTTATAGCAGTTTGGTTCTGGGATTTTTTCACCCTTTCAATTACTTGATAAATTTTTGGGTAAAGAGGACAATGAGCTAAACAGTAGTGAATAAATTTCCAATCACTAATTCTATGGGAAAAAGAAAATTTTCCACTGTCACCATCCCACTGGAGATTTAAGAGGTTTGTAGATAATATATATGGCCGCCATGAAATTGAAGTTATGACTGGGTCATTATTTCAACTTATAAGTTGTATTTAATTTTTGACAAGTCGTGAAGAAAACAGTGTTTTCAAATAAACACATCCTAAGTGTCTGACTCTATCGGTCATAGTTTCCTGCTGTTACGGACCTCGTTTGTGCGTGCGAACCAACTTCTCAACATTTTATGAATGCCCATTGTTGAAAATGGGCGAAAATCTTCAGTTGTTGATTTCCACAAGTTCAATTGCCATGCCATACCTAAGTGTCTGACTCATTGGTCATAGTTTGTTGCTGTTGCGACCGCGAACCACCTTTTTCAACATTTTAGGAATGACCATGCCCATTGTTGAAAATGGGCTAAAAAAAGACTATGCTGACTTGATTTCCACAAGTCCAATTGCCACGCCATAGGCTCATAGCTAAGTGGCTGACTCTATTGGTCATAGTTTCCTGCTGTTACGGACCTCGTTTGTGCGTGCGAACCAACTTCTCAACATTTTAGGAATGCCCATTGTTGAAAATGGGCGAAAATTTTCAGTTGTTGATTTTGCACTTGAGTTGGCTTTGGACTTTGGTCTATTTTTTTCATATTCACGAGCTCTGTTTTTTTTTTTTCCTTTTCTTTTTTGTTAAGTGCTCTGAATTCTCAGAATCTGATTCCTATTCATAAGTTTCAATTTTTATATTGTATTTGATAAATACGGCTGATTATTTTAATATTTTTATGCACAATGAAGGAGGGTATGGTCGACGTTGATGATACGGATTGGACAAATTTGTATGATTTGGGAGAACCACAATCAGGGGTGGTTAGCCCTCCAAATGTTTCTGGAGGCTTTCCACAGACGGTAGAGGGAGGTAAGGCAGAAGGGAAACCAGCTCTTGACAATCAAGATGGATTGAAAGTTCTTCCATTTGAGTTTATTGCATTGGAGGCTTGCCTTGAAGCTGCTTGCAGTTGCTTGGACAATGAGGTAAAATAATTAATTTTTTATATTTATTTATTTTTTTAGTTTGAAAACTTTTGTTTTTATTTATTGCTTCTATATTATTTGTTTTCATTTTCTTTTCTCTTAATTTTTAATTTTCTTATTTCAAGGCGAGGACATTGGAGCAAGAAGCTCATCCTGCCTTAGATAAGCTGACTTCAAAGATTAGTACTCTCAACTTGGAACGTGTCCGCCAAATTAAAAGCCGCTTGGTTGCCATAACTGGACGAGTTCAAAAGGTTTGAGTGGATTTTAGCTTGAAATTTTATTTGGACTGCCTGATTTATTTATTTATTTTTTTTTTTTGGGTGGGTGTAATTTTTCCTTGAAGGACAAGGTGAACTGTTTTACATAGTTCCTAATGTTGTAGAGGGAAGTGAATTAAACCTAATACCATTCTTTTTATAAAATCATATACGTCCTATGATGTTCACATATCATTGAACAGTCAGTACTTGTGTTTCTATGCGGCATAACTTTTGGATTTGTTCCTTTCCGACTTTTCTTGATTTGCGCATATATTCTTTTCCAGGTAAGGGATGAATTAGAGCACCTGCTAGATGATGATGACGATATGGCAGAGATGTATTTGACTGACAAGCTGGTGCAGCAACAGCTTGAAGATTCTTCTATTTCCTCTATAAGTGAGCAGGACGCCATGGATGATGAAGTTCTTCGGACAAACATGGATGACAGGCACGTAATATACTTGCCTATTGCTTTGTTGGTATGCTGCCCTCATTTTCCTCCTTTTGTTTTGCAACTTCAAGGTAGAAATAATTTTCCTGCAATGTATCAGGAGTCCTAGTGAAATTTTTTTGGAAGGTAATGGCAATTCAACCAATTATGAAGGTGATCCTCGACGTATTGATAACCCCCAGGAACAGTTTGGTGCATCTAATGGCAGAGACAGCCATGGGGCACGAACTAGTACCACACACAGCGCTATAAGCAAGCAACTTGATGTGGAGGAGCTTGAAATGCTCTTGGAGGCGTACTTTGTTCAGATCGATGGTACCCTTAATAAACTGTCCACGGTATGCAACTCAATCTTAAATTCCTACATACTGGTTGCACTTCTGTCTGATAAACTTGATTCTCAAAATATTGGTTAAAATCACACATGAATTTCATGAGGGGGCTCTTTTTGGTGAAAAGTAGCATTTGTACTTTTGCTTTTTGTGGTCAATATATTATGCTCTGATATCCTTGAAACTTTAATCTTAAAGAGTAAATGTTAGATGTAGTCAAGACAAACAATCCTAGATTTAATTACATGCCATTGAATTTGTGACAACTTCTTCAGCATTTTAAGGATGCAATGAGTATGTCTTCTTCACAGAAGAGTACTCCATTTTAAAAAATACAGGACTGCCCCTTTTATTTCTTATGCTGCTATTGACTTATAATTCCCTTTTTTGGTTACTTGTGACTATTAAATGTTGTATTCTTGCTGCACCTACTGTGGTAGGCTACTGTATTCAGTTCTTCCAGGTCTTCTCCACTAGCTACTAGGTGAAATCATGTCCACCATTCCAAGGTTGTGTGTATTCTTGTGTCCATGACCGTGAATATGTGCATGTGTGGATGATTAGAGTGATTGTGGTGGTGGAACATGTGTGCTACTTTTCCTTTGCTGCTAGAAAGCTCTATTTACTGATTTTTTTTTTATGTTTTTGCTGAAATTTTGAAGAATGAAAAGGAAAAAAGAATGATAAACTGTTCTTAATTATTTATGTAAAATATTCATATTCTACCGTGTAATGGGTCAAAAACACCTTTCTAAATGGTGATCTAAGAATATAACAGGATAGAAATTAGAATCTCCACTGGTTGCAACATCTCCAAAGCAAGTTGCATAAGTCTATGTCTATTAGTGTATGTATAATTGTGTTAGGGGATGAATGTTAATGTTTAACACATAAATTAGTGCTACACCAAATCATAGAAGATGATGGTGTTCCATCATTCCTGTTGGTAATTATTCTCCAGGCACATTGGTGTTGGGACTGTGGAACTTGGAAGAGGGGATTCATCTATGGGAAGCGAGAAGGCATAATAAAAGATGCTAAAAAATTCCTATATAGAAATTCAGTCAGTTTGGATTCAGTGAGGAGTTTCCAATGGAAGCCATACATTTATGCATGTATTTGAGCTTTCCTGATAAAATACTGAGAGCATGATTTAGAAATTGCAGAATCCAACTTTGGAAATTGAGATGATACTTGTTGGTTTTTCCATTCTTAAGATGTGGCAGGGGCAGCGTTGCAGTGGCCAACCCGGTTCTAGGATGTGGCAGGGGCAGCGTTGCAGTGGCCAACCCGGTTCTAGGACGGTGCCAAACAGCAAAGCTTAAGCCACCACACTGATAAATTGGAGTGCATCCACATGTTGATGGGAGATTCCATGGATGGGTGGCACTTAAGTAGGTATCGCCTAACAAGATGTTGCCACATCATAGAGCGAATATGGCATTTGGAAACATGTTGTGTTTTTCTATCTTTATGTCAAGTCAAGGTGCGCATGAACCTTAACGGAGGCCGTCATAGTGACTCCTAGAGGACTTAGATCTCAGCTACTGTGCCAAGTACCTCTAAGGTTCCAAGTGGCTATGTCCTGACCACTTATTGCAGGTGAACACCACATGTGGTTATACACTAAAATGGGTGGGGTCTTTATTTTGTATCATCACAGTCGATTCCCCAAGCCGATTCGAGTTACCCCGATATGCGCGGATTTCTACAGCCAAAGCACACTTGAAATGTATGCATGTTGACCTAACTCAGATTCATTGGAGGCCAATTTTGTTGCAACTTGTCCGAGTCCGCAAACCATGGGAAAGAGGGTTTTCTACATCCAAACCACTCTTGAAAAGTATGCATGTGGGGAAGGCAAGAGATCAGAAAATCATAGTCTGTATACAGAGACAAGACTGGGTGGCCACAAAACAATTTATTTCCTCTAGTTAACGTGCTATTGACTCACTCAATTCAAATTCCATGAAGTGGGGTCACATAAGCCTTTTTTATATTAGATTACCTCCTGTATCAAGTTGTTGATTTCATTTAATTTGGCTATACTTGTTGATTGGCACGTTGCATTAAATATTAGCTGAATACTTTTATTTCGTAAAAAGTGAAGTGATACAAAAACATGTGGATACTTCACATATGCCATCTGTGTCCTAGGTGTATTGTCATATGTGGTTTCTACACAGTTTTTGAGGCCTTGCTGTCAAAGATTTCTTCACTGATGCAACTTCGATGATCCAACACTATCAGAGAATTCAATTTTTGAAAGTTGTTTAGTTTGCATCATAGATTTTATTGACATACATGCTAAGTTTGTATTATAGATTTTATTGACAATTTGTTTGTCCTTGTGTGTTTCTGGAAGCTGAGGGAGTATGTTGATGACACAGAAGACTACATCAACATAATGCTGGATGACAAACAGAACCATCTCTTGCAAATGGGAGTCATGTTAACATCAGCAACCCTAGTGGTGAGTGCATTTGTGGTTGTGGCTGGGATTTTTGGTATGAACATCAAAATTGAGCTGTTTGATGAAGCAAAAGCCGGGATGCAAGAGTTCCTGTGGACAGTCGGTGGCAGTGCCACAGGTAGCCTTTTCCTATATGTAGTTGCAATCGCCTGGTGTAAGCACAAACGGTTGCTGGAATGAATATGTGCTGTGTATTATAGAGCTGCTACAATGTTCATAAGTACCTTGTATTTATCCAATATTTGGAGCACACAAACATGTAATGGGCACTTGAACCGGTTCCACTCCATATATATGATTATAAGTTAATATTGTATATTATGTGACAATGCAGATGCCATAACTTTATTACTTTTGGATGACATTGAGTTTTTGGTTAGTAAGTTTGCCCATTGTAGTCTTTTGCTATCTTTGCCCATATGGATCAATTATTTGATCATTAAACTTGCTGTTTTGTAGATGCTACATCAGTATTTAACTACTGTATTACTACAGCTTTGACAGACTTATTCACCAATCCATCAAAATTTTCTGATTTATACATGCGCGCGCGCGCGCACACACACACACACACATATATATATATTTATGTTCAACTTCAATCTTTTCATTTGAAAGGAGTAGATTCAACTTGGGCTAAATTTAACTGAGTGTCCATTGTTGTCAGGAACTCAATTCCGGGCAGTCTTTGGTCTCCGGCACTTTTTGAAACAATTACTGAAATCAGAACACTTCATAAACATTCCACCACTGCTACCGCTTACCTCCCCCTTCTTTTTTAATTTCCAAATTTCTCTAGACATTCAAGAGAAATTTTTGTTAGATGATTCGATGAGAAAATTTTGGCATCCTCTTCGAGTACCAAATTTAGGTTTAAAATTTGCATATAACATTGGTGTGATTATTTTTTAATTGGGTAAAATTGGCCAAGGTACTCAAAACATTGGTTGATATTTGAGAAATCCAGGGAGATAATTAAATAAACTTAACACAATGGTAGTCAAGACTGTCAAATTTTTGAAAATCAAAGCAATTCAATTCTTTATTTATTTATTTTTATTTTTTTTTGAAAGTTCAAGCAAATGTGTATGACTCCACTTATGTAAAGTTATCTTCATCTTCTCTTTATCGGGCTCAGACTATACCCGATGAGCATTCAGTATTTTTAAGAAATATTATGTGAAAGATACACTTTGTAAAAGTAACTTCGATTGAAATTGAAACTATCTATGTAAACTCATCACATCAGGTGCATTTTTTATTTAATATTCACAATCTAATTTCATGGGCAGCATGGACCTAGAATGTTCTATTGTAGCAAGATTTTTCCCTATTAAAAATAGGTAGGTGTGATCCAAGGTTAAGGCCAAATCTCAATAGATTGTGGCAGCAATTATACACTCTGCATGTTCACACTCACAGGTGTGTACCTTTATCATATATATATATATATATATATATATATATATTATTTCTTTGAGTAATATATTGATGTAGGTGAAGAGTCTTTGTAGTGAGAAATAGGAACACTCGTAGGGGAAAATTGAAACAGGACAGGATATGATGATATTAATTTAATGTAATAAACAGTAAGCTTCCTCCTTTCCCTTGTGGGTTACAGAGGACTGAAAGCTTTGTTTTGATGGTAGTTGGTGGGGCAAAATTTGTTCCCTCCCATACCCTCTTAGATCCTTATCCAATATCATGGAGGCAAACCCCAACATGGTCCATGGTCCCTTCCCAACAGTACAACATAACGCATTGAACTTGGAAAGAGTGTAAAGTGGACAATATCTACACAACGAGATACCTCGAAACAAATAGTATCAAAGACAATCCCAAACCAAAAATATGGAGTGTCCTGAAAATCGTGAGTATGAAAAATATACAAAAACAGATAATATCTATATAATGAGACCTGCGTGATATTTTCTTTTTCTTTTTCCACTTCATGGAAAACCAAATTGTGTATGAGAGTTGGAATTGAGTGAGAATGGTTTAAGTAATAAAGAAACAATGGAGAGAGACACATAATTGTGCCTGACATCAAGTCCAGTGCAGCTTCAAAGCAGCTAGGGTTGGAGGGGGGCAAAAAAACTAACACCAATAATATAAGAATTATTTAAATAATAAGATCCTTCCAAATGAGATAAAAGAGGACATATTAAATTAAACGGGGGCATGTTGCATTGGGTCAGGAAGATCTGAGGCAGGATCTCAGGACTTAAAAAAGGGTGATGAAGATGTATATCAAATATTCCAACATGAATTTTGGCTTTTCTTCCTCTCTCCTTTTATCCAAACCGCCCATTACACTTCTCATCATCCTGTCACATTTTCTTGCACTTGTGTTAAACCTAATTAGGGTTTCATTATCAGAACTAGTACTGTTAGAATGGAACCTTGTCTGGACTTTAATAGACATTTAGGTATTGTCTCTGTATGAGCCAAAGACTTTTCCACACATATAGTGATCTTTTCAATATAGATTTCAATGAATCCCACCTAATCCATGCTTATAATTAACCAGCATATGAATCATATGGATAAAGATTCATAGACCTAATAGTCCAATCAAGTACTCCAGCCCTAAGTTTCTTATCATGTATTTAATGGATAGAACTTTCGACGGTTAAATTATTAGGTCTGAATAACATTACTCGGATCATTTTGTTGGAAATCGGAGTTGGGCATTGAAGAGCCATTATTGTTCCAATCTAAAATGGCCTGGCTTTAATTTACATGGCTTAGTTCATGTCTTGAATCTTGATGGTGGTCATTACTCTCTGTGTCTCCAACATGATTAGGGAATTTATATAACACACAAGTTTGTTTAAATCATGTCAGGGTAATATATATAAGAGAACCATACTACAAAACTTGACATTTCTCATTTCATTCTGTTGAAAAAAAAAAAAAAAAAGAAACCATAAATTTTGGCAACTTTGGATTTCTTGTGGATAAATAATTTCTATGGAGATCATAGGTATTGAAATAAAGAAAGCATGGGACACCATGAATAACAAGGGTTGGGCATGGTTGCACAGAGACTGCCCAAAAGATTCACAGCTCATATGTAACCACTGTTCATTGACAAAGGATTTAAATTCTGAAAAAAAAAAAAAAACAGGAAATTTATTTCCCACTTTTGCTCTCTGGTTGTTTCCCACTTCATTGACAGGAAATAAAAATAAAAAGAAAAGGAGCAAAATATTTTTTGAGATTCAATTCCTTTTGATTTGACATTAACCCTCCTACTACCTCCTCCTATTCTCTCTCTAAGCAACTTGTACAACAGCAGCAGCAGCAGCAAAGCAGTACTGTTGGATACAATTAACCTCAACCTCATCCCCACCTCTTCCCTTCAAACCATCTGTGAAAAAAATAAATAAATAAATTGAAAATTAAGCATTTTAGCCATGAAAAAACTGAAGCATTAATTACAAGCATTTAAGAAGAAGGTAAAACAATAACTCAACTGGTTTTGCTGCTGTTGGTTTCCAGACTGGAAGAATCCAAAATGACCTTGGAATGCAGATCTACCCTGCAAGAACTCATTGGCGTAAAAAGCATGCTATGTATCAATAATTAAATCAAGGACAATGCTATTTACAATGAAAATTGAAACCGCGAATACTAGCGGAGAGATTTTCATCTCTTGAATGCATTGAATAAGATCGAAGTTTTGGCCTTATACCATTTGAATGCATTGAAATCATTTTGTTAGCATTCTGGGTTAGACTGTCAAGTCTAAGTATCATTATCCATAAATCAAATAAGTAACAATTTTAGATAAAACCTAAAGAAGGAAAAGTACCTCAAAATGAGTTGCAGAGTGACCTTGTGAGAACTCCAAGATATTCTCCATTGGAGCTTGATTGTTGTTGAGTGTGAAATTGTTCTGTCAAATTGTCAAAAGCAACTAAAGTTATTACCCAAAACAATAAAAATGATTAATTCATTGAAATCAAGCAATCTTCTTTCTTAATTTCTGAATATCCTCTTCCTCACATTGTTCCTTTGCAAACTACGCACTTAAAAGTATTGTGAGTGGTAGAGTGGTCTTGCTGCCATGATCCTCTAGGATTCAATTATTACAAAAGAAGAATCCGGAAAAAAAATAATCATAATCATATTCTTTGTGAACTTACATTGGACAAGTTGAAGATGGGAGAACTAGCAGTGTCATCGAGGAAAGAAGGCTGTTCTTGATCATGAGCCTTTCGACGCCGATCTTCTTTGACTATTTTCTGCCTAATTCTTCCACTATTCTTTGGCAACGTGACATGATCAATGGGTGCATTATAATTAAAACACCCATTATAGTAACTCCCATAATCTCCCTCTTCATGAAAATGTGGAGGACCAGAAGATGCATCAGACACCATAGACAAGTCCTCTTCCTCATCCTCCTCATCTTTTGCTGCTTTCTTTTCTTCATGATTAACATATGATCCATTATTCGCTTTATGTGAAGAAAGAAAAGAGTGTTCCAAATACAGAGTCCAACCAGACTCACACCCACTATTGCATTCTGAATCCAACACTGTACCATTCATTGTGAGTGAAATTGGGAAGAAAAAAAGTGGGTTTTTCTTCTTAATTATCAACAAAGGAGTTGAATATATTGATACAAAGTACACACACATACATGCATATATATATATATATATATATATATAGTGTGTGTGTGTGTGTGTGTGTGTGTGTGTGAATTGAACCAATTAAAGTAGAGAGGTAGCAGTGAGTATGAGAGTGGACGAGTAGTGGGAAAGAACCAAAAGTGAATCAGGGTCGAATCCTGACTAGTTTTGTCCTGACTCAGGACGTTCGTCTCTCTTTGTGAATGAATCAAAAGTGCCAGTTGGGTTGGGGTTTTGAGTATGTAGTATATAGATTATAGATGGCCGTACAGGAAAAAAGAAGAGAGAGAAAGAGTGTGTACGTGTTAGAGAGAGAGAGAGAACAGGAGGTAGCCACAACGCCTTCACATGGAGGCACAGTGTACGTACGCTCCTAACAATAACTGGGCACACGTCCATCTTCCCTTCCTCAGTATTTGGACACCTATCCCGTGACCAGTAATGCCTCTCTCTCTCTCTCTCTCTCTCTCTCTCTCTCTCCTTCCAATCAAAATGCCCGTTGCTTTCACATACAGGATAACATGAACCCCGTTATAACGCTTATGCAATAATTTACATTGTTTATATAAAAATTTGATAACATGAACCTCGTTATAACGCTTATGCAATAATTTACATTGTTTATATAAAAATTTGAATTCATATTAGATACATGGCAGCCTTAGATTCTAATGTAAATGAATACTTTTAACTATAAAGTAAAAATCATATCGGATATATGCAACTTTATTAGTGCTGTGTAAATAGATATTTTTTATTTTGAACACGCGTTTTAACTTGTTTTCACAAATTTTGGATTAAAATATTAACTAGCTCATTTATGACTAAGAAGCCACCTCAAGAATCCAGATAAATTGATTTGACGTGACAAGTAATTGTATTGCTATTCATATCTCTTTCTTTCTTTTCTCTTACCTTATTAATTTGTTTCATGCCATATGAAGTTTTATGAATAGTTGTGACTAAGCAACTGTCACTCTTCAATAATAGCTCGTGAATTTGAGTAATGATACTTAAGACTTACTTTTCAGACTGATTTATTTGGATTAAAGTTGACATGAAAAATAAGCTTAAAAACTATATTTCTTGAAATTTTATATAAGATTCTCATTATTTAACGAAATGAGGGAAAATTGTAAATTGTAATTTTCTTTTCAGTGGCATGACTAAATGGGAGAGATTTCTGAGTGCTTGGAGTTTCACGTATACAGTAGACTGTATTTTTATGAAATCACATGCCATCACCCTCTCTTTAGATATACTACACGTGTACACGCACTCACACACACATGTATGCACGTGTGGACTTACACATGTGTGCACGTGCCCGCACACTTCAATATAAAATGCTTTGTTATAAAAAAATAAAAAATAAAATAAAACTTATGGTTAACGTTTATATAGTGCTTGCGGTCAGTGTTGATGTTTTTATCTGGTGAGTACTACTAAAGTACTCTTATCCTTTTGATCTTTTCATTTATCCATTTTATAGGAAGGACAAAGTCAAAATAAAATTATATAGCACTGGATCATAGCATACGTGAGCACACACGTGCCTCTTTTAAAAGTCAACAAAGCAAAACAAAGCAAAACTCAAGCACGTCAAGTGTAATACAGGTCATTTATTTTACATCGAATTCAAATAAAAAATTAATTAAGAATAAATGAGTAAATATATAGTATTACCCAATAGTTTGAGATTTTAAGTAAATAGACAAATGTCCATCCGTTATTATTGGTATGAAAGTCAGACTCAATCCTTAATTCGGTATCACGCCAAACCTTTCATTCGGAGGGGGTCCGAGTTTATAGTCTAGGTAGGCAGGATGGCCTGAACCGCAACGAGAGCGTTGCTAATTTGGGTGGGGGAGAATGTAATGAAGATTATTTGTTCCACATTAAATCCAGATAAAAATGAACATGCTCAACAACTTGACCCTTTAAATAAATGGGCGCCAATTGTAACAAAAACTCTAACAAATGGTTTATTTTTATGGGGACATAGAATGGATTTCAAAATGATAGAAATCATCCCTTATTAGTCTGTGATGGCCGTCCAACTTGATCACAATAGTATGTTATTTTATCTTTTTTGTCCATAAAATGTTTGTTGTCATTTCAAATATTAAAAAGACATAATTGATCTTTTATTAATTTATGTTATTAATTTCCGTAAATTCTATTTGTTTTTGTCAAATGCTAAATTACAAATTCAGGAAAGATTAAATGAATTATAAAATTAAAAGAGACACGTGAAATCATAAGGCGATGATTTTTTGAGTTACTTCTCTATTACTTTTCACTCATTCAAGATAAATAAATTCGAGATGTTTTTCATTTTCGTAATATGGGGTCAACTCCTATCCTGCAAATAATGTGAGACATATTCAAAGAAATACTAACAATTAACACGTGGAGTGACTAACATTCACAAGCAAACAACTGAAAACAAACACAAACAGAGATGGCATGTGAAAGTTTTTGAAACTTGATGCAAACAGACTAAGCATTTATATTTTTAACCAAACAAGGCATATATGATATATATATATATATACACACACACACTGTACACCTATAGAAGATCAATGAACATGGTAATAATGATTGTGAAGATGCATGAGAATCATAGTAGTAATAAGCATCAATTCATTGCGTGTAGTGGTATTGGGCTTTGGTATCTCCGTCCGTCCATCCATCCAGTCAACGGTAAAGTCCCATACATGTGCTCTTCCTCTTGGATCACTCGTTATTAATGGCAAAATGCAGAGGAATTCAATTACCTACTCAAATGGGTTACCATCAAAAATGGTAACTATGAGTTGGATATTTGAATATGCACCCACTCTCTCTCACACACACACACGCATTCAACACACAACACGCACACACAGTTCAAAATGAGGCATTAATGAAAAGGTGGCTGCGTCCTGTCCAGCTCAAATTGGGTCCATAATTTTGACATTAATTTGCTGATGGTACTAACCTTTGGGCCCATTGCACCAGTGCTTCACCTTATTTTGCTTGAATCCATATCCATGTCCATAAAGATTGACACTCTCACAACGTACACATTGCATCTTTCGTGTTAGTACATGGTCGTTGGTAAGACTAACACCTTTCTCCTCTGTTAATAACACTGGTCAATGTCAATGTTTACTTATTCCTTACCAAGTTTGCCCCTATAATTAGTGTAAAATCAGGAGCGTTGATTGCAAAGTTAGGAACTAAAGATAATAAGAAAATTTGAAGATGAACGTAATAATTATTATGATAAAGATATGTTATATATATATTAAAAAATATAACAAAAAACGATGATGTTCTCATATATTAAATCAAGTTTTTAAGGGGATAAAAATTAAAAATAACTTGTAAATAAAATTTCTTGATCTCAGAGAAATTTTTCTTCTTCTACATATTCTCTTCATTGATTTTGTATTTATATTTGTTCAAAAAGATGAGAAATTGAACTCCCTCTCAAATCTTTGCAATTTCCTTGCTAGACCCCCGAACAGGTCAAACCCTGTGAAAAAAAATAACATCGCGTTTTGAAAAGAAATGGTTGAAGAGCAATAAAAATTGATTACATATCATATATAGATTGGGACTGATAGAAAGAGGTAGAGTAGTACTATGAATTGGGCTGATAAGAAGATAAAGAATAGTACTAAAAATTGATTACATATAGACGGGACTGATAAGAATAATAATACTAAATTTTAAAAAAAATTGGACCTAGGTTATAGCCTAGGTTAGCCCATTAAAAGTTTCGTCCATGTGTAAAACAATACAGGTTTATAAGGGTAAAATAGTACTAGTAATTTTCTTTATTTTTTGTTTTTTTGTTTCATTGCATATATCACAACCCCTGTGAAAAGATACTTCTTTTTACGAGATGAAAAATGGTAGTAAAATGGAAGTCTCTTTCCTTTCTCTCTTTAATTTTGCTAGTTTTGTTTTTTTCTTCACTTCTACTTCCATTTCATTTATTAATATTATTCAATAAAATCGAGGAGAAGTGCATTCAACATCATTCTATTGAGTTTTCATGCATGCTAAAAAGAAGTTTCAACTTCGAATACAATTGTTTCAAAATTTTAATATTATTAGTTTAAAACTCAAAATAATTTTATTAAATAACATTAACAAATGAAATACTCCATAATAGAAGTTTTAATACCATTATTTTGCATTTCAACCTCATTACTTTGAGTTCAAAGTAGGCGTGGGCTTTTTTTCTTTTTTTAATTAAAAAAAAAATTTTAAAATTAAACGCATATGGAAGTCGGTAGATTAAGGGGAGGGTAGAATCGGACATAAACTGACCAATGTATGCATAAAGTCTCGGACTAGAGAATACTGTCCAAAAGATAGTGAAAGGTTAAAAAGATATGGAAGTCCGGTAATGTGCAGGGGTGGAGCTGGCAACCATTAGCAGGGTGATGTGGATGCAGGCAGGAGAAACGTGGGACGTTTGTGTGGGACCATTAGATACATCCACCAAGTCTATCTATAGTTTTTAAAAATTGTCGTGTAGCGTAGTACATCGTACGGACGAGTGTACCAGATGGCGCCCAACACCGACCCTGCCGACTCATCTCTCGAATCAGCGCATGACACGTCATTGCTTCGACCTTTCTCTGGCTGTGCTCAGCTACGTCGCCACCTACGCATCCGACGAAACACACCATCCAATCAATCACCCACCCGATCATTGAGATATCACACATCCCCCACCAAATCTCACCTTCATTTTAATCATTTCTACTGCTCTAACACCCACTCTTAGCTTGCGTCACATTACTTTGTCTACATTTGTCCTAATATTTTTTTCTTTTAATTTTATAATATTTTTATGTAGTCCAACACTTCACACATAAGCACTTCACACAAGCGATCATAGTCGTAAAATGTGATATAACACCACACTCAACATCGTGCGTCTTATATGTATACGTGTTTCGTCTATATGAATAATTAGTACAATGTAGTACAACACCGTGCTGTTACGCACCGAATTTTGATTCTCTGCCCCAGTTTTGGAAATTAATGCTAGTCAATGCATACCAACTGGGGTACATGTCCACAAGCTCATAAACAATCCAACATTTCAACCCCTAAATGAATTCCAGCAACCACTTGGATCCAAAGACTTTATTGCTGTGATCCTTTCAAACAATGAACAATAATACTTTACCAGTGAAACAATGAACAATAACACTATACTAGTCAAATCAAAAGAAGTAGTCACTCATGCACAAAAGAGTGGTTGTAGACACTCATTTTTCTCTAGCAATTTACTCAAATGTTCCATTCACACAACAGTTGCAATCCCATATCAGAACATTGTAACCCATTCAAGACACAATTACCTTTAGAAACTCAATTTTAGAAACAAACGGTCAGTAGAGGTTTCATATATCAATTAACATATCCATTTTTCATCCACAGCACTGTATTTATAAGCTTTAGCTAGTATCCACTGCCACTCACATAAGTTTTTTTTTTTTTTCTATATATATCACATTCCGTATTCAAGAAAAAACATTGCCAACAATGTCAATTGGGCACAATGAATTTAAACGGATGTTTGTGTGTCTCTCTCAATGGATAGGAAGCAAAGAGTTTGGAGTTAGATTGATGGGAAATACTTGGCAAGGCTGAAAGGGAGAGCATAGAATTCTGCACTCCTGGGATCCTTATCAAAGTACTTGAACTTCTCCCACCAATGCCTACCGCTGTCACGCCGAGTCGAAGTGTGCTTACGGGCAAGAGTGCAGTCCAAGAAGAGAGCAATGATAGCTGCCACTGTGGCCGGGGACGTGAAGATCACTTGAATCATTGTGTTAAACTGAAAATAATAGCAAAACCATCATTTTTTTTTCCATAGACAATGGGCATACCTCAATCAGTGAGAAACTTAAGCTGAAATTCAAATGTAAATACCCAGATGGAATGAGTGCGAACAGGACCACGACCGGAAAGAATCACATAATCATTGAAGTATTGTGGTACAGAGAGACCCATGAAGATTGAGAAACCTATGATGAACTTTGTCCTGTAGCTGTTGAGGTTGCAGAACTGTAGTAAACCAAGACCAGCAGAAGCTACACCACCACAGTAAACCATAATAAAATGTCAACCAGAATCTAATTCCAAAAAAGAACAAACAAGCCAACTAGAAAAATATATCAGCTATCTATTTAAAGAAGCATATAGATTCTTGGTTTTTTTTTGGTATTTATGACCAAATTTTTGCCCATAAAATTTCTACTAATACTTTTTAGTTTTTTACAAGTATTTTCCAAAAGAATGCAATCATAAAATTCTGTTTGCCACTATGAGAATATCATTAAATCGGAATCAGAATTTTTATCCAAGGCAATACACCTGCAATTTTTTGTTTTCTTCCAATATATATTAATTTCAGTCCTTCTTGGCAACTAGAATCGATGCAGGATTTATTTAAAACTTCAAACAGATGTGAGTTATTTAGAAATAAAAGAAATTAATATCACACAGTTTAGTTAGAGCAACACAGTTCCTGACTCCTGATTTGCTTACCTTCGTATCTAGATGACTGTCAGGGATTATTTTAATTGTTCTGTATCATACCTGCTCATTTGGTCGAAAGCTATAACAAGAACTTGTACATGATCATCACTAAAAAGGCCAACTGCTAAGTTTGATTTTCTGGAAAAAAAAAATGCAGGCAAAGCATTTTGTAATTGTACCATGATAAAGATTCTATAGTTTATTGCAGGCGTCGAGCAACAATAATACAACAAGAAAACCACATGTAAGATGCTCGTGAGGTAAGAGGTGCCTCTGCATCTGTGAGTGTAGATACTAGATAGTGATGATAGTATTTTATTGTGTTGATAGCAATATGTTACTGTATTCCACATGGTTACAATACATATGATTGGTGTTAGAGCTCAATGTGGTAGCTTTTTTATCATCTCCTTTACTTATATAGTATATACCATGTTGGTTTAGCAAATCCTTCATTTCAATTAATCAGTTTTTTTAGACATGACTGCCTTATATGTAACAGATGAAATCGCACTTTAAAAAATCACTGTACTTTGTTATAAAAAGTCTTGGATGACCAAGTAAATATATGCGACAGGTTATTTCAAGATGAAGATAACCAAAAGAGAAATTCTAAGTTTTTTCCCCTGAATCAAAAGAGAAATTCTAGTTATATTCTTGAGTGGGAAATTATGGGGAATTGGGGATACATACACATGTAGGCGAACAAGATGCAGTACAGAGCTCCAAAGATTGGCAGAGGTATAGAAGCGAGAACAGCTCCAAACTTTCCTGATAAAGGACATAGAATGTTACAATGAGTCCAACCAACAAAAGATCAAAACTATGACTGTAATCCACTAATCCTATGCTCCTATTGGCATTATCAGTATAATAGAAGTGAAGGTTATCTCATTTAAGTAACAAAATTAAGTATGAATAATCAATTGAAAACAGTATCACAATAATAATGACAATCTAAAATGGTCCTATAAAATAACACACCTAATACAGAAAAGAAAAGCATGAACCCTGCTGATATTTGAATCACTCTTCGGCTTCCAACTCGTGTCAGTCCCAAAAGACCTGCATTTTCGCTACACACAGGAAAATATGTTTAAGTTTAGAACATAAATAAGCAACAGTGTTTGGATCAGGACATCAATTCCTCACAGACTCGATTGTTAGATTAATTAAAACTAATGCAGAGGGATTTTGGGTTCATAACACTTTGAATAGTCGCAATGAATGCCTACACATAAACCAATCCAATTGAATGACCTGCAAATGCAATTTGCAAATTTCAACTTTTCTAAACCACACCACCCTTCTTTCCTAACACACAAAGTTGAGCTGATTTTTGCCATTTAAATCGAAGGAAGGCTATTTTTATTTTTTTCAAATACAATGCTTAAGAAAGAACCATATATAGAGGTCAGAGAAAACAGATGTTCTCATCTAAGCATGCTGCAGCCAAAGCAAAAGCAATTTTAAGAAGATTATAATATATTACACTGATGCAGTTGAGCCAGCTGCTGTGCCGAACAACCCATCCAGCAAAATGCCTATTCCCTAAAATGGAAAAAAAGTGAAAAGTAAAAAAAAAAAAAAAGGATGAGTCAGGACCAATACTTATGGTGTATGTAGGATCTAGAAAAAACATAACGATCTGTTACAGGATTGATTGCTACCAGCCAAGCAGCACCACGGCCAAAAACAGAAGGTGGTATATGTGTGGCACTCCCAAATCTTGAAGCTGCAATAAATGTGCCAGTAGACTGCAAGAAATAGTGATAATGAATAACTAAATAAAGAATGAAAAATTTAGTCTTTAACACAAATAAGCTCAATGTCGAATCTAGAATTCACCTCAATGACAATCAAGTCACATGAAGAGAAAATGAACAAAGAAAAGAAAGAATACAGCATATTAACAAGATCCATATTATTTTTATCATATACATGTCCATTAATATCATCAACGTGCATTATCATAAATTTTCTGTATCTTCAATTTCTTCCGGCAAAATATAAACCGAGATTAAAGCTATCTATAAAACAGAAGACTAACAGGATGCACTACAATAAATGGACCTCAATGAGAGCAACAAAAGCTGCAGCCATCATTACAAAAGCTTCGCCAGCATTTAAAGTGGGGCGTCCCCATTGGAATGGATACGGAAACCTTATCCTGCATGTTGAAAGGTGACGTTAAGTCATCATAAGAAGTGAAGCATAAAACTCAAGTTGCTGCCTTTTTAGTGTCTAAACATTATGGATGTCGCCCACAAGCGTAACATGAACCATATCACTCATTTTCCAATGTTACAAATATGTAAACATCGGAAGTTAAACAAATTGCAAACAAATTATAAGGCATTCAATATTTCAAATTTTGAATTTGGGCAACGTAATGATTTGTGCGGAGTGAATGGTAGTTTCAGGAATCGCAGACCATAATAATACATTTGTTCCCTTCATTTGGCTTGCCTACATAGCCAACATGTTGACCCACCCAGACTATTAAATTGCAAGCCAAAACTTATCGATAATAACCAAAATAGAGAGACACTGACCAAGCATAACAGCCCATATTATAATAAAGGACTTGTCTACTCTTCAGATAGTATTGACATTACCACTCATGCTTTGGTGTTACGTAAAAAAACCTATAGGTGCGCTAGGATAAAATATAAAAACAAACACAAACTGTGCAGTTTTATTCCCTTCTTGCATTCACACATTGCAGTCAAATGACAGAACATTACATAAGTAATATCGTAAACAAAATTTTAAGTCTATTATTACTGTTCCTAAACTTATTAACAGCATAGAGAATTTATTGTTTTCCAAAAATGTGGTTTGGACATGGCATATTGACATATAATGATGTCCATAATCTACAATTTATGTAAAATACGTCACACAACTCGATCCACTTAGTTCCAGGAAATAGATCAAAATTAAGGTTTTCAAAAGCCACAGAAGGCCATCTAGAATTAAGAGTTCCTATAGGTGCTTTTGAACCTTTAGATGTTGAAAAGGGTTCACAGCGTAGATTGACCAGACCATGAAATATTGTGAAACTGGATATCTAGCAGAAATACATTGAATCGAGAAAATCAAATCAATATATAAATGTATAAATAAAGAAAATTGCAGTGGGAGAGAATGACTGTATCTCATAAAGGACCTAGGAACAAATATGCAAGAAATTATAGTGGTATGAACTCACCAAGAAGCACCACTAATGAGCCCAGAGCGATCAACACGACAACTAATCTGAGTTTGTGGAGGTCTATTTTTGTATGCACCTGCTGCAGTCAGAAGAGCTGCATATGTCCATACAATTGCTACCGATAACAGAACAGCAAATCTCTCATATCTGAATTGTTTCGATTTCAGTATGTAAGGGATATACTGCAAAAGCATCAGTTACCACAACATAAAATATTAACCTCAAGAATTCCAGGTAAATAATTTTTCAAAATAATGAAACAAAATAAATCAGTAATTTCAAACCCCAAAACAGACATATCCCTTATCCTTTTGAGTTTTTGCATATTGTCAATAATTAAAGAAACCAAAAGTCAAATAATATATTTAAGAATCATAGAAAATCAAGCCAAAGAGAATAAACCGAAGCCAAACCGATTCCTTACATCCTTCCTGGAAGTATCCTAAATGAAATAACATCAGCCAAATTCTGACAATAACCATTTCATGGTTTCTACTGATATTTCTACTCAAAATAATCAACCAAACTGGATGATCATTAACTAAAGTCTGTTGGCAAATATTAATTATCCATCTTGTTCTTTTTTATTCTAAATTGGTCAGACTTCTATCAAATAATTTTCTGAGGCCCTTAACCATGCAGCATTTTGCTCTCACAATAAACACACAACTTTTCTACCAAAAATGGGAAGCAAATAAATCATTACAATGATGTAGCATATGGAATATAAATACATACATACATACATATATACATGCATATATATATATATATCACAACAACCGAAAGAAGTTAAATGGGAGTTGGCTGAAAGAAAACAGTAATTAAGTATGAACTCACCTGAGATAAAACAATTAATATAATTAACTCTGGAAGCCCAACTTCAACACATACTGCCAGCTACAAGCATCAGCCAGAAACAAAAAGCACAAAATTGGTAAACAAACTAATACCTTATGGAGAGAATATATAACTATATATATATATATATATTATATAACAAACAGAGGTAAAGAAGAATTTAACACCAGCTTCTAGCCTTATCACATGTTGCCTAATAATCCAACTCAACTTGCCAGTAAACTTATATTTGCAACCCAACCACAAATGATCCCACTTAATGGAACTTTTAAGGACAACTATTTAAGCAAAATGGATGACCCTAAAGTTTTATCCAGTACTGCATATACACAAATGATAGGAATTGATACAAACTAGTTTCAAAAGAATCTTGTGATAGAGGTGTAGGGACTTACTATACTGGTCAGATAGATTTGCCATGTTTGACATCTACTAGAATAGCTACCTTGTTGCTTGTCCAAAAGGAGTATTGAGTTGAATACGAGCCAACTACCCGAAACACGTAGCAACTCTACTAAGAAAATCCCTGACAATCTATTACTTTACCTTCATAAGTATCAACAAGACTAATCTTTAACCAGTTTGCAGCTATCAAAGGGTTTCACTATTTCAGCTGACCAAATGGCCTGTCATTCCTTTGGAGCCATCTGGTCTGCATTTAAGATTGGCCGATGCAATTCTGAAGTTTCACAAACTTATTAAGTCTAATCAGGGTAATTACTATACTCAAATAATCTGGATTATTAGGAGACAAATATTTACCATCAAAACATAAAAGAAAACATGGCATTGTCATGATTAACAATCATCAGCTTACAGTTATATCAGATTAAAAGCTTAAGAACTCTTACTTGTGGAAAACCATGTTCATAAAGCCCAAGTCCGACAAGTGTTACAAGAGGAACAGCAGAAAGAGGACTAAGGAGCCTACATCATCAGATAAAATGTAACTGAGAATTTAAAATTGCAGTATCAAAATAACTTGCTCAAATCCATAATGTCATTCCTGCAAAGACTTACCTCAAAATAATTCTCCATATACCAAGCAAACCAGCTAATATTGGGAGAATGGATGCAATCAAGAGGGCTCCTTGTATTCCTCTCATTGTTCTAAGAAACCTCTGAAAAAAATAATCATACAGATAGACATGATAATTATTAAATTGCAAATGCAGAAACTAGATAATGGCAAGGCAATGAGAATGTTTAAACTAACTTGATGGGGATCAGAATATATGCTGTATCTATTGGCTAATGCAACAAAAACAGTAGGAACAATGAATGCGTAGGAACCCCCGATCACCACCGGAAGCCGAGTTCCAAACCAAGTCTGCAACAATGTGTTCACTCCCGCGACGAAAAGCAGAGTTTGTATCACTTCAGCCTTCTCCCTCTTTGTAAGAGGGAAAAAATAAGAAGAATAAAAAAAAATAGTTTAAATTCAACACACTGCAATACATGACGAAGTGACACATAAGTATATTGAATTGTCACTGAATTCTTACATTGCCACCACCCATCAAAGGAACAACGACGGTGGGGATGATAACAGTAGTCCCAAGCATCACCAAGTAATGCTGAAAAGCCAGAATGATGGCTTCAGCTGCATCAAATTGAAAGATGTTTAGTAATTGTTTTGGATGTCTAAATAAATAAAAAAAAACCGCTGTAAATTGGAAAATTTAAATACAGAGGACAACTTATATGTGTATATACTATACATGTACACACACAGGGATTCGAGAAACAATGGATGGATTAATAAGGTAATGGATCATTGATGCACCATAGAAATTCTAAATTAAAATGTAATGATCCTTTTGGTTGCTCAGAAAATACAGGGAAAGTACATATTAAAATTTGAGTTCAACATTAATAAATAAATTAATACTGATAGACCGAACCGGAGATTTTCCATTGTTGGAACACGAGAAAACACGAACATCCCTCCGATATTCTTTTGTTTTCTTCACTTTTCTTTTCTCGGAACCAAACAGAACATGATTTAAAATTGATTGAATCTATTCAGTGCAGAAGAACAACGAAACTTGTAAAAAATGCAAATCAATCAAACAATCAATTGTAATTTTAAAAAGGTAAAACTAGCAACCAGATTGAGATCACACAATATGTAGCGGCACAGATGTTACAAAACAACTTCAAAACCTCCAATGGAAAAAACGCGGGAAAAATTGCCCCCAAAAAAGGCGGGAAAATATAAACAAAGATTATCACAGTAAACATGATCAATCAATATCACTAAACAACGCAAAACAGGAAGAAAACGAAATTGGAGATGCCATAATTAACCTATAACAAGAAAAAATCAAGAAGACAGAGTAAAAGACAGAAAAGAGAACGAATGAAATACGAAATAGGAGAAAGTAGATAGAGATTAGAGAATAATATATGAATCTGCACACACACATATGTAGAAGAGAAGATAGAGAAAGAAGAAATGGCGAAATGAAGAAATGTTTAGAGAGAGAGAAACGCACGCCAAGAAGGATTGCTGTTGACACAGAAGTCGACTCCGGGTAGTTGCTCCTTGACGGGGTGAGGCACAAACTCATCAACCTTCGTAGCAGCTGGGGCCATCTTGCTCTGCCTCTCTCTCTCTCTCCCTATAAATTTTTGTTTCCGCGTCTGAGGCAACAAAGCTTTATAAAGACAGAGTATATGGTAGGAAGAAGACAAGGCTTTCCTCTTTCTCTCTCTTCCACTCTCTCTCTATCTACATTTATGCATATACGTATAAAGTACAACGACGTGAAGTGTGAGAGAGAAGAGAAGAAAAGAGAAAATAAGAGATGGAAAAGGATTGAAAATGGAGATGACGATGAAATTTCTCACTGGTACATGTGTGTTTATAACTCTATATATACACACACACACACACACACACACACACACACATATTCTTCGAAAAACAACCTAACGCAGCAACAACGTGACCCTAGAGAGAGAAAGACACAAAATTACACACTCTCGCTCTATATACACTCCATATGTATATGTATAAAGACGCAACTGTATACGATCGATCGATTGATCTCCTGATTCATCTTTCTGTTTTGGTTTCGAGTGGGACAGAGAACAGATACAAAATTAGACAAGAAAAATGTGTTCATCCACATGGGTAGATTACCCAATTACCCCTACTATTAAAATGTTTCTTTTATTTCAATCTAATACTATGAAAAAAAAAAATTAATAATAATAATAATAATGCGAACATTTTGGATGGCAGTAAATTTTTTTTTTTTTTTTTCTCCTTAAAAGTTCTCATTGGATGACCCCTCAACTAGGAAGCATTTTGTCTTATGTGAGTACACTACAAATTTCAAAAAAATAAGATATACGGGATAAAAAAAATTAATAAATTTTATTTATATATATATAAAAGTTAATTTTTGTACTTTCACAACACATAAAACAAGTATTTTTAATCATTACTTAATAAAATTTGTACTTTCTTTTAACAATTATATTATATTGTTATTATTAAAAAAGTTGAATCTTAATGTTTAAACTTGTTAAAAATTTGTTATGAAAAATCTGAAAAGTGTCTTAGGCAGAATTAAAATATCTAAAAAGTATCTTAAAAGGATCAAATATGTGTTATAAATTAAAATATATACATGCAACTACCAAGGAAGTATAGCTAACCAATACATATTCAATAGGAATAGGTTAAAAATGGACAGGGATAATTTGGTTATTTCACTTAACGGTGTGTTATGCAAGACGTGTTAGTTACACAATAATCACTATTTTGACCTAGAGAACCAGGTGAGTCTCTGGAAATCATAGACATCACTCTGATGCATGTAATGATTAGACTGCACACATGGTAGGGGCATTCTCGTCTTCCAATCCATATCTCACTTTAAAAAATCAGTTTTTTCTGAAATTTTGAAATTTCAGTTCATTAGTCTCGCATTACTTGACCCATACTAAACCAAGTGTAATTGTCAAATCGTCACTCACACTAAGTTTGTGACATTTTTTTTTTTGGGTTCTATTTCGTTGTTACATTATATGAATTGTTACAATTGTGATTGTTCAGTATCATCCGTTTGATTTGATAATTAAATATAGAATTGAACAATTAATTTTTTATTTTTTATTTTTTTGGATAAAATTGGACAATTATGATAGTTCAGAGCTATAAATGTTATTTTAATGTATTTCAAATTTTCACCATAGATTTAGATTTTCATACAATGATAGTGCTCTCAAAGCATCCCTTAAAATGAATTTATCCATAAAATTTAAAAAATTTGAAATGTAGAAAGCTTTAAATATCATATTTATCGTATCATACTATATTTTTTATATGAATGATATGTGATTTTCTGTCTAGTAAAATAAGAACAATTTGGGTGTAAAGTGTAAACAAATGCATATTCCACGTTATTAGTCAACTAACTTTGCCCAAAAAAATTAAACAATATTAGTCTATAGGAACTAAAACTAACTCAGATCCGCTTCAAGTTGTTGGCCCATTTTCATCTACCATTTTGATTTTTAAATTTTATAACGTTTGTTCACCAAATATAAAAAATAAAGAATAGCATACATACATATAAATATATATATAATAAATAAACTTGTTTTCTTTCCTTTGCAACATTTTTTAAGAAAGTAGTATGAATTAATGTGAAAAAAAAAAAACTATCGATGTGTATTATACAATTCAGATACAAGCCCATTCATTTAAGTCAACAAATTTGAACATCTCATTTTTTATTAACTGTAAGAGAAATTCAACAAATAGACAAATTTAAATAAGAATTTATTATGCAGATAGAGAGCACCTAGAAGTTGTCATTTTCCTATTTCTATCATTAAGTATCATTTTCTATTTCCCTTATTTTTTCAGCACATATATTTATTTATTTGTGATTAAAAATAAGTGGAAATGAGCTGGCCCACCAATGGCCAGCACCATGCCATTGCCACTTTTTGGGCACCGAATAACCTTAGCAAGTATTCCGTTCGTATCATAAAAAATGTCACTGTTAAATAATCGTAACTCTCATAAATTAAACTGACACGGTTCCCCAAAAACGACATTTGTTTTGGGACGGAAGTAGTAATTATTTTTTAATATAATTTATTTACTAAAATATATATTTAATAAGAAATCTAATGTACAAATGTTTAGTTGAAAATTAATCTAATATAGAAATGTGTAGTTGAAAGTTTAATCTTTTGACATTGTGAATTCTCTGCAATTTTTATATCGTTATTCTAAATAATAATAATAATAAAAGGCCCATTCTATTCAAATTCTCTTGAATATTCATTGGATCTCACTATAAAAATTGACAAGATGAGATCATATGACATTGTATATGTATTGGATGAATATTAAAACTTATCTAATTTTATACCAATTCTAGAAGATAAATTGAAATGCTATGAGCATGTGTGTGTGCATATATATATATATATATATATAGACACACATGTTAAATTTGTTGAATCATTTAATCCATAGGACTATGAGTTTTGGTTGTTTGGGGTTTGGAGGGGGAGGGTAAGCAGGTAGTTGAAGGAAGGTGCACCAACTGTACACACATAAGCAATCCCAAGAGTCATTTCTTGTTTCTTACTGCAATTTATCTTCTTAGGAATAAAGTTTTGTACAAGATATCACATGTAAATGATTTTGTACTCTTTACCAATGATATAATATAACGCCATTCCCATCTCCATTTAAAATATCTACTCTCACTCCATCCCAAAATTATTTATTAAATGAGGCAGGACAGGGTGAGACGGGACTGGAACGAATTTTGCGAAGTGTTTTCGTAATTGTAATACAAATTTAATGAAATTAAATATAGAACAAATTTTCAACTATGATAATAATTATTTTTCTTTTATGTGAATAAAAACAAGATTCAATTTCTCAACTGAAATTTAAAACTAAAATTATTATTAAAAAATCAAAATAATACATAAAAATTCTCAAATAAGAATAATCCAAAAGAATATTTAGTGATTAAAATAGAATAAAATAGGAATTACATAGTATATACCTAATATTATTGAATAACCTAATATTATTGAATAAAAAATAAAGTATAAGGATAAAATTGTAATTTGCTTCTATAAATGGGACGGGGCGACCTTTCCTCATCCATGTTCCATAACCATGCGAATTTTCAATCATAACTCTCGTCTCCGCCCCAAAACTATTTAACCACCCCCATAAACGTTTTAAACAGGACAAGTGGAGCTGCGTATTTTGCCAGCCATCCCTACCCTAGGTAGAAGAATGATAGTAGGCTTCAGGCTCATTCAAGAAGCACTGATAAAACACAATTAGGAGCGTCCTCTCAAATTTGAATATATATATTTTTTGTTGGTTGGACACGGCATAAAAACAACTGAGACACGATGAGGACATTTTTCGAAACTTCCAGTTAACAATGAGGAAGTTGTGCAATTATTTTAAAAAGAAAAAACAGAAAAATGGGGTTATTTTTCAAATTTAAAACAAGTTATGAGGTAATTAGAAAAAAATATATAAAATTTTATTGAACAAAACAACACCCATCCAACTCTAACTCCAAATTACTGGTTACATTATTATGAGTATAAATTATTATTATTTATATATTTATAATAATCTAATACATAGTCTATTGTTATAGTTTGACATTTCCTTGTATTTCTTTTGAAAAAAAAAAAAATTGGAATTTGACATATTGTCCTATCGTGCTTCATAGTCCCTATCTTACACAAATTAATAAAAGAAAAAATAAAGTTATCATTCGCCTATCCATTGATGTTTTTCATGATTACTCTTTTTCTGATTTATTTTTAATACAAGATAAACATATCGCAAAAATATTGGTTATACTAGCACTATTAGAATCATAAACCTTAACATTTGAAAATTATGTTCAAATTACCTCCTAATATTTGTTGACTATCAATTTTGACAATTTTTTTTATTATTTATAAAAATCTCCAAAATACTCTTAATATAATCTTAAAAATTAAAATTAATGTTTTTTATTTTTATTTTGTCTTAAGGACATGTTAGGTATTTTGTTCTTCAAATTTACAAAATGTCCCTATTTGCTAAATTAAAAAAATATAGGTGTTTTTTTACCATCAGGAATATTTACACATTCTATTCATTGCACTTTATCCTTTATATGTGTGTGTATGTGTTTGTTATCAGCTTAATTTTCACCACCTTACTACAAATTTCATCCAATTAGGTGGTCCATATCCCCTATGATTCCAACTCACTACGATTTGGTTTGTTGAAACCATAAGATGGATTGGAAATGCCCAAATGTAACTTCTTCTTTTTTCGTTAAAATGCCCACATGTAACTTGTTCCGATGAAACACAGTATTTTTCCTCAAATGGCCCTTGTTTACTCCAAAACCATAAATCAGAAACTTTCTTTTTCTTTTCTTACTTCCCCTCTAACCTTGCAATCGCTTCAACATCACACATGCTTGTTTTAATTCTATAGCCAAACTGATTTTTATGGGTCCAAAGGAGGTGAAGACTCTGGAGTCTACAAATCTTTACAACAAACAGATGTCCTTATATATATATATATAAAACCAAACACATCTCTTGCACACATCATAAAATTTAGGCAAACTTTCAAATACAAGACATTTTATACATAAGTAATGATAGAGAACCTCAAATAAAATACCCGAAATATTCCCGAATCTTCATAACCTAACTCCACCGTCTCTCTCCTCTTTCACCGGCATGACCCAACACTCTAAATTCCGGCAGTTTCTCTTTCTAAAACCTCTCTTTTTCTCTCTACCCTCCTCCCCCAAACCTTATCTGCCTATGCCAACATCAGATTCAAACTGCTTTTTTATTTAGAGAAAAAAAAATTCCGATCCAGATCAGTACAAATCAAATTCCACCTAATTTCTTCTTCCCATCAATACAATCCAAACTCCACCCAATTTCTTTTTTTCTCTTATCTCATCAGTACAATTCAAACTCCTACCCAAATAATTCACTTTTTTGACTACCGATGCTAATCAACAAAGTTCCAATTCTCTGTCTGATCCTCACCGCATCGCCGGCT